ATTGGTAAAAACAAACCGTCGGGATGCCAAACACCATCAAGTCATTGTCTTGGAACTCCCGGAAGCTGTGTAGAACAGGACGGGACGCCCGACCACGGAACGCGTCAGTTTGGCACGGAACGATCACAGCTACCAATGCTCTTGTCCTTCCGCGTAGTTATCGTTGTTTGCCTTTTCTATTATTCACCAATAGTAAGGATGTTATTGTGATATTAATACGCGGCCCTGCCGCCGCGAGCAATAAGTGTCCAAACTAGATACGGACGGGATGCCATGTGGCCGTTGCCAAGGTCGTCTATCCGACACAAAGGACCTCGAGTACTCCATACTTGGCGGCGGCCAAAAAGATGAGCTAATCTAATAGCCTGTCCCATCGTTGGCAATACGCGCGTACATTATCAAATACCTCTTACGGCGATTCTCGACGTAGCAAACACTGGCCGACACGGCATGCTGGTGGGTTTTTGTGTCAGTCTACTGCCGTGGTAGCCTTTTCTCTTTCTGTCGTTTTGATTCTAGTTTCCACGGGGTGGCCTTTTGTTTTAACCTTTTATTCTATTGTCTTGTGAACAAAATACGCAATGGAAACTTGTCAAAAACGGTAGCAGTGTGGGTGTATACCCGTCTAGTCATACGAGTTTGATATTGTCCATCCGTGCTTTGCGGTTTGTGGCTGCAGGTCATCATCCCCTTAGCCGCCCACAAAATGTACACTTCTTTCAACAAGCCACTAGTTTAAGTAATAGTGGCAAAGCCCAGCCAGGGCCAGCCCAGGCCGGTTACCCGAAAGGCATTAGAACTGGTTTTAGTTTGGTTGGCGTACGTTTCTTTTGGGGCATTTAATACGATATTATTTGTAGCTTCTAGATTAAAAATCGTGGAGTTGTTTATTTTATCTCACAAACCCGCCCCCTACCGATCTCTAACGCCCTTGCATCTGTCATTGGTTGCCAGCAAGCATCAGAAACATGACGACTTCCCGAACAGAGGAGGCTGGTTGCGGATAGGGAGGCCGAATGGTTATCTATCTCTGTTACCACCCGTCGGTGCGGCCAAGACAATACGGCGAATTACATAATACAAAAGCAAACCGTCTGCCGACGAGTGAATGACGATGGCAGAATGCAAAATGCGTGCAGTGTCGTAGGCAATTGTGCAGATGTGAGTTGTACGTAACCGGGTGACAGGAAAGTGACTGGTCATTTTATGCTGCGACGAGAAAATGGCGGAATCGACGCGCAGAAGATAAAAAGCCTAGCGAGTTTGAAAAATATTTCAAATAAGGAGACACAAAATGACAAGAAACCAATCGCAAAGGTACACATCCATTCCAAAGTGTGTTGATTAGTAAATACGAAGAATAAACAGGAAACAAGAAAAGGAACGATGCGAAGGTGCCAAGACAAGGACAGAATAAGGAGATCATCACAGGTGAGACATCGCCATGTACGAGTAAATACGACGTAATTTAGGGCAGAAACAAAAAGGAAAGTCGGCCACGCGAGGGGCGGCCACATGGTTTGACGAGCCGAGCAAAACTGGAAAAATACCACACGCTGTGCCACGAGGCATCTGCGCATCTGACGTCGTCCTCATATTACGTGCCGTGGTGCTGCTGAGCCTCCTAAGCGAAAATGCTGTACCACAGAACTGCATTGATGGTTGGGCGACGTCACATCGTCGCGTGTGAACGGTAACATTGGAAAAGAGTGTCAAATTGTTCAGACTGTCAGTAGAGCCTTCGAGGTTTGGAGTGTCAGATTCCCCATGTGCAACAATCATTTCAATTTAAGAGGTCCTTCTTGCCCTCTGAAATTATGCGTCCCTGTGAATCCCAACCGCCAGTCAACGCATGGCCGGCTAGACGGTTAACGGGAATTCCCACCTATCAACCCATGGAAAGTAAAGGGGGAAGACGACTGGCGCCCAGACTTTTTTCTCACATGGCGACCATGCAAACCTGCAACCTGTATGACGGGGCTTATGGAGCACAATGACACAAAGTGCAAGTACAAGATACTGGACACTGTGTATGCTAGCAAGGTGGCGAAAGAAGGATTAAAAGAAGAATGACAGAAGCCGACCCGAATCCACCGTTCCACCAAAAGAGCAATTTGAGTTTTTCGATTTTGCTTTCTATAGCGGAGTATTATGCCCTATTTGCTTCCCTCTTAGACCCTGTTTTCCCACGTTGCCAGATGGCGTGGTTTCAGAATCGGGCCAAAATAGTTTTTGACAAATTTCATGTACTCAATAAACGCCATCCCTTTCTTCGATACGGAGTCAAACGCGGAGGACATGGTCCATCATACTTTCTGTATTGAGTCTCTCTGGTACATCCTCCACGAGCAACATGACTTTAGTCGCCCACCAAAGCCCACAAAAATGTAGGAAAGTAAGATTGATAACGGCATGACCGAGTAACGCCATAGGCCCGGTTGAATGGAAAGTCTGAATAGAAAACGAAACGAAGAGAAAAAGAAGAAAAAGTAAAATTGGTCTAGGAAAGGTGGGGACCGCCACGTGGAAAACCAAACGCCAGACAATACCACTCTACCGGGGATCTTCATTTCCTGTACGAAGTATGTCGTACGAGGAAAATAATAAGAGACAAGATAAAAGAACAAGACAATGTGACTAGGACACAATTAAAACACAATGTCGTTTCTGTCAGAGGTCGAAGAAGGTCCTGCGATGTGTCATGAAGGGCGGAGTCTTTCATTGCTTGCACAGCCTCCTTTAAGTCTAAGCATGACACATGACACGTTTATTTATTGAACTCCGTGCAATTGCGGTGTACAGGTACCGTGAGATATCACCAAAATTGGCATGTTTCAACCCGATGGAAAGTCCTTGTGATGGTCAGGATATAATTCTGGTACGGCTGGTAGAAGGGATGAAGGAATATGGAAAATTGAATACATAGGAAACAGAAATGTGATATCCCCTTATCCTTGCAGCATATGACACGCCGGCAATGGCAATAATACCAGTTCATCCCGCAAGTCTACTGTCTTGTATGTCGTATTTGTGACAGTTCTTTACCTTATCTTTTCATCTTTAAGCAACGTAAGATAAAACGAAAAGAAAAAAAGACAAAAAAAATTGTACTTGTCTGTGATAGCGAGAAGTATACGGAGCATGCTGCGCCAAAAATGGGACCGACTGCGTAACAGGGGAGGGCAGCACGGTGCACAAATGAGTCCGTGATGCGTCGTCTAATTTTGCTCAATTGTGAACTAATTTTGTGCAGTAATTTTATCCCCCCTCCCTTATTTCAGACCTTCAGCCATGTGGGTGCCTGGGTGCGGTCTTCCATTTCAAGAGTAGTTTTATCAAAGAGACTTACGCCGTATGAACGAGAAGGTATGCCGCAATACAAAATACGTCGTATGGAGTAAATACTCCGTACTGTTTTTAACGACACGCCGCCTACTGAAGTACATTTGTATACACGAGAGACATGTTTTGTCTTGCTTGCCACATGGCACAGCCGATACAAATCGGCGGCAAAATGGGGTCTGGGGGCTGGAGCAGGGCGGCAGGGAGAAACAAAACGACCAGATCTGGCCCGTTGCTGATGGTCCAATTTTTTGCACCTTCTGCCGCCTTCCATGTGTTCTACGGCGGCCCATTCCCCCTTGCTCCATCCAAAGGATCAATTTACTCATTCTATTTCTGCCCTGCCTTGGCCCTTGGAAATTTGGTGAAAAATAGAGACGTGACATCGGACTATGGAGTCCGGCAGCCAAGCCACAAATAAAAAAACGGCCCATTTGTATGTATCCTCTAGCCTTCGTGCCAGAATGATGCCGGATGTACTTTTGCATTCTGTTCTGTCGTCCTCCTACACTGCCTATCCAACCGACGATTCTTTTAACGGTACGATGTATACCGTAGTAAAATGAAAGATGGTCGTCGGCTCGTGGGGGGTGATTTCCCGCCGAATATCATGGCCAAGCCCAGTCATACCACCTGAAGGTCTACTAGCTTGTTCCGTCAGACCACGAGGCTGGCGCAGTGATGACGATCGACATGTTTCAAAATTTGCCGAGCATGGTTGAGGTCACTGCCCCCTTTTGCTTCCGATTGGATAACCAGTGAGAATTTTGCACTTGGAAAGAACGAAGAAAGCATTGTGCATGTACAACATACAACGCAGGTCGTAATGCGACGTATTTAACATGTCATAGTATCTCACGGTTGTGAAGTGTCGTTGTTCGCTGTACCTAAAAGTACCATGATGCTTTAGCCTACAGAGCACAAAATAAGCATCGGAGATCCTCGTTTCGGATTCTTCCGTCACTTTGTCCATTGCTTCTAGAAGCATCATGCACGGAGAATTATCACAGGTCGATATTGTATCATGATTGTCACTCATGCTGTGAATGTACAATATGTGACATGAAACGAGACGGGAAAGAATCTCGTCCCTGGCGATCACCGTCTTCAGACGACTTTTGTTTGGATTCATCACTCGCCAAGGCATATTGTTAGCCTTGTTATCAAATTACAGGGTTCCGCTAGAAACAATGGATGCAGTGTGTGTGTGAGAGATAGGGAGAGTCACCCTATCAAGAACCCCCGGGCCTCTGAGGACAGCATGGCTGCCGTATCACAACATCGCGTCTCGTCGTAAACAGCCTCCTGCATATCCACGGCGGAAATGCAATGTCAAACTGCTGTCACGAGCGTTTGCATGCAGGGCAGTGCAGACTCGCAGCAAATACATAGGCATGTAAACACGATGCACAAAATAAACAGCCGCATGCATCTGTCAAGAGTCACCGTTTGTAGTCCGTTACACACGGATGAATAGATGCCGGTCTCTGGGACCAGAAAGGATGCAATTCAGACGTTGAACAAGTGCATTTTCTTTATCATTATAGTTGTATGCTAGCTCTACCCGCATCGTTTGTGGTTTTATTATGTCTTCGCGATCCATCCATGTGCAGTGATAAGATGGGCCCTGATCCTCCCCGTGCGGCCTCTAATCAAAATCAAATCTCCTTGCACCAACGTGCCATCACAGCACTTAACCGGACACCGGGTGCCGCGGCAATCTCTTCGAGCGCCACCTCGGTCCGCCACATGCTGCGGCCCTCCAGGCCGCTTGTCACCAGCGCGTTGCTGGGCCGGCCGGGTCCACGGGCGCGGGCGCTCGCACCCATCCCCGCGGGGATTAGCAGACTCAGTGCGGCTAGACTTTCCCAGGCGCGCGAGGCGACACCGCGGCCCCAGACGCGTGCACCGCCGCCGACAACGGTGCCACCGACGGTACTGGAACTCCCACCAGGCGGGCGGCCGACCCCGCGGCCTGAGCCCACACCGGAGCCGGCTAGGGACGACTGGACGCGCTGTCGACCCATGAGGGAGACGTACTCGTCGTAGGCCATGGCAAAATTGACCGTGTCGGTGCTTAGGACGATGTCGAGACGGGCGGCGGCAATCAGCAGGGACAGCTCGAGTTCCGAGAGTGCAGCCAGCAAGTGCAGTTTGGAGTCGGGCGGTGCGAGCGGGAGAGGGTCGATGTCGTTCAGAGATGTGGTCTTTGTGATCTTTCTTGTGGACGACGCAGCCAACGCAGCCAGAGACGGCCGGCCGACACTGCGGGGGCCATCGGTCGAGGAGGCACTGCCAGCAGCAGCAGCACCACCGCTCAGTGCGGCCTCGCCCACGGGGGGGAGCTTGAGTCGCGGTGCCGTCGATGACACGGCTGCCAACGGCATGATGCATGTCGTCCAGAAGGCCGCGACAGACTTTGTGCTGTAAAAGTGGAAGGCGAGCTGCTCCTGGAAATGGTCGTCGTCCTTGACGCTGTCGATCATGTGCTTCCACCACTGGCGGAACTCGGCGTGGCCCTCTGTCTCGTCGACATCCATGGCGATGTCCACTGCCTTGGGCCCGGCGCCGTCTTTGTCGTCGTCGTCTTCGATCACAAGACCGTGGCGGCAAATGTCCCAAAACGCGGGCAGGCTGCGCGCGAGCGGCAGGTAGACGTACCGGTGGCTGAACCGGCTCTTGACACGCTTTTCGAGGCTCTCCACGACGTCGATCTTGGTGGTGAGGCCGAGCACGGCAATGGGTGCTTTGCGGGCCTGGGCAATGTCAAACAGGTTGTAGAGCAGGGTCTGGCGCGCGTGCGTGGCAAAACGGTCAAACTCGTCCATGACGAAAACGACGGCCGTCGACGTCACGTCTGGGGCACCATCGCCGTCCTTTTCCACGGCCCCAGTGCCAATGGCGGCTCCTTGAATCTCGGAGGGGTGCGAGAGCAGAGCTAGCAGCGAGGCCAACGTGTCCGCGTAGTTGTTTGTCTATGCTGTTAGTACGGGAGGAGGGCCACGAGGAAGGGCGGTAAGGACCAGTGTAGGCTAACCTTGTTAACGACATCGTCCTCCACGGCCATTTCTTTTCCGAGCTGCCGCCAGATCTCGCGCAGGGCCAGCTTGTCATCGGTGTGGATAAATCCATTAAGCCGGACCACATGGAAGGCGCCGCCGTGCTCGGCAGCCAGAGCACCCAATATAGACTCCACCATCTATGCATGTCAGTGTTTTTCTCTTCAATTATGCGAAGAACAAAGAAAGGCCCGCCCCCTCACCCTAGTATGGACTGGGACTGGACTTACCGTTGTCTTGCCCGTGCCTCGTGCACCAATAACCATCATGGAATTGCCCTCGCCAGCCACAACCGTCTGCTTCACCACCTGGTAAACCTTGTCGTAAGCATCGTCCTGGCCCTGCAACCGAACACGCTGGCGGCCCGTACAACGGCCAAGCAAGACTCGCTTCATCCTGGCGAGGTGGTGCTCAAAGTTGGCAATGTCAGGCGCCAGGTCGCGAGCGGCGGCAGCAGCGGCGGCGTCGTCCTTGTCTGTTAAGTCAGCGGCAGACTCCTCCCCCACTGAGTCCGTCGGTTGGTTACCGGCAGCCGTCTCCAGAGTATCGTCGTTCTGCTGCCGCAGACATTTTTTGCAGAACCAATCGCCCTCTGGTATGACAGGCACGTTGTAGCATTGCTGGTGCACGGCGAGATCGCACGTCTCACAAAAGATAATCTCGTTGGGCGGTTCCGAATCGGGTTTACTGCAGATGGCACAGACGTCGTCGTCGGTGTCATCACTGCTGTCTCCTCCTTCTGCCGGTGCGCTGTCCGTCTGTGGGATGTTCTGCACCACCTGGTCTAGCGGCTTCGTCGAGGTATCCTTCGTCGCTGTACCAGCAGCCTCCTTGGAAGTGCTCTTTGCTCTAGAGGCTCGCTTCGGTACTAGCTTTTCAGTGGTTTTGGCTGGTGTTGCTTTTGCCCGCGATCGTCTGGTGGAAGCGGGCGTAACTTCGTCTCCTTTTTCTGTGTCTGTCATGGCCGTCCTGTTTGTCTTTTCTCTGGGTGAGGCGAGCGGCTTCGGAGGCGTGTCTGCTGTCGAAGAAACCTTCGCTGCAGTTGTTGACCTGGCCCTCCTTCTCGTTGATGTAGGAGCAGAAGACGCCTCTGTAGTCGTGAGTGCCACACCAGGCGCCACGTCCGGCTCCACAGCCAATGCCGGTGATGCTGCTGCTGGCGCACCTCCATTTACCGCCTTGCCTCGGGAGCGACTTTTACTGGCGCTGTTCGGGGTGCTCGCGTTGCCTATCTCGCGGTCCACGTTCTTGGGCGTAGTGCGCACCCGGTCGCGTCGAGATAGACGGCCTCCCTCGAGCCCGGCCGCCATCTTGTCGGTGCCGTCAATGGCCAGGTCCTCCAGGAGGTCGCGTCTCTTCTTCTTATTCTTGTCGGTCGCCGTCTTTGTGGCCGCCGACGCCGTCTTCATTGCGGACGGCGTCTGTGGTTGTTTCTTTGAGGGTGTGTCGGGCGTCGGCGACGCGGATCCGACGAGCGTGTTTTCTTCCACGTCGGATTCGAGCGCAGCGCGTGTTGGTCTATTGGACGCATTCGCATCGCCCCCATCGTCGTCGGGAAATTCGTAGAGCTTGTCAAGGTCGTCTTGTTGTGTCGTTCGTGTGTTGCGCTCATGTAGCAGGGACGCAAACGGCCGTGCCAGTAGCCGGTCGCGCGCCTGACCGCGTGCTTTGCCGGCATCTTTGCTGGCACCCACCAGGCTGCCGACGCCGTAAGCCAGGGCACCGGTGATGGCCGATGCCACGGCGTGGACGGTCCTCGGCGTCTGGGGTGTCGTGGCAATGTTGGCTCCGGGGAACAGGGCCGCGTCGTCGCTGGCACTGGTCCGGTTCGCGACCGATGCCGTGGAGTGACTGTGTGCCAACCTTTGCCGCTTCACTGTGCCTGTCGCCTCAACGGTCCCAGTCAGGGGCACATTCTCGTCAACAGCATCGTTGTTGCCGTCTTCGGACCGCGCCCGTTTCCTCCCAATAGCGCCCGACATGGCTCCAGGCTCTAGCTCTAGGCGTGCCGACCGTCACAGGGGCATTGCCTGTCCACTGCGTGTATTTTCTGTTGTCTCCGTATTTGTTGCGGTCCAAATGAAGTTGGGGTTTGTCGTTGTTGGTCGTTGGTTAGGTGTTGTTGGTCGTCTTTCGTTTATTGGACAATGTAGCAACTGACACTTGTACCTGGAACCAAAAGCCAACAGGAAGGAGCTTCCCAGTGAGCGCGTCGCAAGCCGCTAGCAAGTGCGGGAAACAAGGGCCAACAGCCAGCGCTACGTGCACAGGTGCACCAATGTGGCGCCAGTGGTTCCAAGGGTTCAGGTTTAATTGATGTCACGTGCTTTCGCGTTTTCGATTTTGGTGATTTGTGAACAACCGATGCATTGGAGGTCAAATGTGGCGTGTGGGGTCGTGTTCCAAACGCCACCGTTGCTTTCAAAGTGACCTGTGGGGTTCACATCAGGCTGCAAGGACAAACAAGGCGCCATTTGGCAAGCACTTTTATGAAGAGACTTTTTCGGCGCTGTCGTCTTCCAATGTTCTCGCGTCACAACATTTTGACAGGGACCATGTCGACACAATGGACGCCTTCGTGACAAGACAGACAAAACGGAAGCTGGGATCGCCATCTCCGCCGCCAGTGGACCCGACGACGCCATGCATTGGCCGGGTAGACTTAGCAGAGACGACTGCGGTTGTCGATGAAGACGACGAGTCGACCGAGGTCAAGCTGGCGATAGTGGCCTCCCTCCTCGCCGGCGAGGGCGGCGGCAGTGGCAGTGTCGATATTCATCAAGATATGCTCCTCGAGCTACTGTTGGCCCATGACGGATCCGTGGAGGCTGCTGTCGATGCATTCCACAGCCGGCCAGACAAGTGGAGACACAAGAAGAAGCTGAAGTTGGAGGGCGTAGTTGGACAGCAGACCTCGTTGCGCAGTTTCGTTCCGCAGACAAACACTGCATCACCTGAGAAAAAGGCAGGCGGTGGCCCTGCCACGACCCTCCTATCCCGGCGTGGCCGCACGCTGCACCTCTACGACCCGGTCGACATCGAGGCCCACACGCCATGCACGCTGGTGCACAACTTTTTGCCGCCGGACGTGGCCAACGACTTGTTGCGCGAGATGCTGGCCGAGGCCAAGACGTTTGGCGCGCCGTATACATTCAAGCTGTTTGACCAGACCGTGTCCAGTCCACACACGTCTTGCCTTTATCTCGAATCGGCAGCTGAGGCGGAAGAGGCGAGAGCCAGCAGCAGTGCCATCACTAGCAACGAGAGAGGGTACCATCCCACTGGTCAAAATCAAACGGGCCAGCAGTTATCCCTTGACAAACCAAATGACGAAACATTTGTACTCGCTATGGACACTCACGACGGATACCGCTACAACGGCTCGCGGCTGTCGGACATCCGCACGGTCACGCCGCACATGGCTCGCGTGCGACCGCTGGTGGAAGCCGCTGTGAATCAGGCCATTCAGCGGCGCATAGCCACGCACTATCCGGGCGGCCGCAAGCTGCGTTACCAGAACCCGCGGCCGTGGCGGCCAAATGCGGCATTTGTCAACTGCTATAACGGCGGGCAGGAGGGTGTGGGATGGCACAGTGACCACCTGACATATCTGGGCCCGCGGGCCGTCATTGGGTCCATGTCGCTGGGCGTAGCGCGCGAGTTTCGTGTGCGTCACATCGTGCCCCGTGATCCGTCCAAAGACCCAAAGAACACAAAGGATGCAAAAGAAGACGACGCCGCTGGACAGATCAGCATCCACCTGCCACACAACTCTCTGCTCATTATGCACGCCGAGATGCAAGAGGAGTGGAAGCACTGCGTGACGCCCGCACCCTCTATTGACCCGCATCCCATCTCTGGGATCAAGCGCATCAACGTCACCTACCGCGATTATCGTGCTGATTTCCACCCCAATTACATCCCCCGCTGCAAGTGTGGCATTGCATGTGTGCTTCGTGTTGTGCAGCGGAAGCTAGAAAACCACGGTCGCTACTTTTGGATGTGCCATGCGGGCAACATACCAGATCGCGAAGGTTGCACGTTCTTTCTGTGGGCCGAATTTGACGATGATGGGGTCCCTGTGTGGAAACTCAAGGATAAAGAGAGTGAGAAGGCCAGCATGGGTTCCACAGATTAACCCGGTCAAAGAATGAGACGTAAATGTATATTTGGAGAGTCGAACGACCGACCAACACAGACCAAAACAAAAGCCGACTTAAAGACCAACGAAGTCGGACAACGTTATTGCGCCAACATAACGATTTGGTACAAAGCGCTGCCTCTCCAGTCATAAAACTATACACACGAGGCGTCCTAGTGCCCAGAGCACCCTTGCCTTCTTGAAAAATAAGCTCACAAGTCGAACCTGCAAATCACCTAACAATAAGACATGCTATGAGAACCAACCTGGCCAGGGCCACTTGCCGGACCTCTTGCTAATGGTACTGCTGCGGCTGCTGCTGCGAATCCCGCTGTGGTCCTGCATCCGATCGCCGCAATTCTCACTCTTCAAACTTTGGTCGGGTGGCATAAGGGGCACATTCTGGAGGTGTGTGGTGTCCATGCCAACGAGACGCCGAATGTTGCGGGGTGCCGCGTCGGGGATTACCTGCCTTGGACCACCTGACGCCAATCGCGAATTTTTCGACCGTGGCAAAAGACATCCTGGAGATGGCGGGTCGGAGTCAGTGGGAATGTTGGCGGACGATACCGACAATCGCGGGACCTGCGAGAGAGAAACTCGCTTCTGGGATATTGACGATGACGCGGATCGCTGTGCTGCGTTGTCTGAAGTATGCTGGTAATCCTTCTTCGGCATTCTCACAGGTATTATCGGTTGCTGACTCTGGCCAAGTGACGTATTCCTCGCCGGGCGTTTTCCGCCCTCTTGACGGTCGCTCTTCTTGTTTGATGGCTGGTGAGAATGAGATACCGCGCGAGGGGTCACTTCGTCCAGGCTACCATCCTGAGTGCCGTTCTCGGGGGTACTAGGACGCCATGTCTGGGACGGGGATTGGGATTGCTGATTGGTGTGGCGTGCTGCCGTGTCCCAGGTCCTGAATGTTTTGTCTGTCCGCCGTAGCATCCTCACCTCGATCGAGGTAGCAATTCTCTTGGCCATCTCCTTAGCTGCTGCCGGGCCCCAGTGCTTAGCAACGATGTCGACTAAGGGACTACCACCAGGCGGTGCGGCGGACGGCGACCACATTGATGCTGAGTTCTGCTGCATTACCAATGCCGTCACCGTTGTCTCAATAGTAGTGCGGACCTCGACGCACCCGCCGTCACGATCCATGGGATCTCTGCCAACGTCGCGCTTGGGAAACCCGGAGTGGGAATACGTGAGCTGGATTTGCATGTACTCTTGGGAAGTGGACCCGAGATGGAGCTCCAGGTCCTCCAGCAGCTGGTCAGACGTATTACTGTGGGAGAGCGGGCGATATTCCTGTGATTCTGCTGCCTGCTTCTTCTTTGTCATGTCAAGATGGATATGGACCACCATGAGGCGCCGTGAGCCGGGAAGGAGCGTCCTAGTGTTACGGGCACATAATTAGCATTACCAGTGGTACCAAAACTGGCATATGTCTTTGCTTGGCCCTTACAAAAGACTGGGACTTTTCCCAATGACCTCAAGGATCTCGCTTTGGTACGATGAGACGATCTTTATATCCATATCGGAAATGTATCCGAAGCGGTAGAGGCCTAGTATATATGTACATTAGAACGTCACTGATAGAAAAGAACATATCTAAGAGACATCCACATGACACGCACCTTGGTCGTCATCTGTGGCAAACGATGACGTTGAGGCTTGATGGTAGTCTTGTCGAAAACGGTGGTCGCGAGACGAGCCCGTGTCCAACGGCTGTGTGACGTGGGCAAAGAGCTCGATGGCGACCCAAAAACTGTTCACATCACCCTCGACGGTTCTGCACTCGGGCGTGACTGAGACGATGGGGACCAAGATCTGTGGGTCAACCTCACCACAAACCTCGGATTTGGCACTGACCTGGCTCAGTCTGCGGCTATGGTGGCTTCGAGATGTGTCTTGGCGATAGTGAAAGGACTCGGACGCGCGATGACTCTTGTAGGGGCTGTTAAAAGGTATTGCAGTACGGGGCCGCGTATATGGCTGTGGCTGGAAGAGTTCAGGACCGGTGGCAAGAATATCCGAGGTTGACACAGGCCGGCTGTCGTACGTGTGCTGCCGGTGAGACTGGCGAGGATGCAGCCCTGGGTGCATCAGAAGCTCGTTGTATGCGCCGTGTCTACCAGAAGAAGCAGGCAGCATTCCCGTGCGTCTCTCACAGTCGTAGGGTCTATCCGATGGCCAAATGAAGCACTCGTCACTAGCATGTGGACTGTACGTGCCCTTACTTTGAGCATCGTAATCACCCTGCTGATCGCGGCGGACGTCGCCTATGCCAACGCTAACTGCCTCACTACTGAGACGCATCCTTTGGAAGTTGTCCAAGGCATCTTCTTCTTCGTAAAGACGGCTGCTACTATGACTGGACGACGGCCGCAACGAGCGCAGGCCGTAGTCGTTTTTTTCTTGATGATTGTTAGGCCTGTCTTACTCAAAGTGACTTTTACATTGGAACGGACTGACCTGCTCGATATCCGTCTCTCAGATACTGTGTCCGGACAGATGCAAACCCACCGCTAGCCTCAGACCTGCCGTTCATCATGCCGATGTCACTGTGATCACTCCCTGAGCCGAAACTGTCCGTGTCGTTGCGCCTGCGTCTTGCCATGCCGGCCGCATGGGCCTCAGGTGCAGCATAAAAGCGGCTGGCGCCTCCATCTACCTGCGAAAGCAGGGTCCTCCGCTTTTTTGGGATGCTTAGGGACCGCTGGGACGCACCGGAACCTTCTTGGATGCTGTCCATGCTCTCGTCTGTGGCCGCACTTGCTCGTCTGGAGAGCTGGTCGTGATCGGACCCGGAACCGTGGGCACTGTCGCCGGCTGAGGGTTGAATTGGCGGATTGGACGTGCGTTTGATGATCCGCAGAGGACCTGGCTCTCTATCGCCTTCGTCCATGGCTGCGGAAGAGTGTAGAGACATTTACAGCCTTGTAATGTCGTTTTGAGGATTGACGATCAATTCCAAGATGCAGCTCCAAAAATCCAAGGACGCGTAAGGATAGCACGTGCTATGGCAGACTGGAAAGCTGAGAAGCCCAAGTGCGGCGTTTTGTTTGTTTACATTTACTTTTCTGTCGTGTCTCGCACTTGAAAAATACAGGATATAGCAGGAACGCATTTCGCCAGAGTCGCGCCTTCTTCGCATACAATTGTAAGACGACGACCTTCTAATCTCAGCAAGGGTCGAGAGTTCTAGATGTGGAAAGGACGACTATGAGTCAAGACTGGAACCATTGGGTTGTCTTACAAAAATGGACAAACGGAAATGAACGTAATCCAAAGAAATTTGCAAAGTAAATAATATAGTTGACATTTACAAGGAACCACCGCCTCAACGCCCAGCCTGGGAAAATAGAAAGCGAAAGTTCGTCACAGTGAAACCCGGAGAACACAAATCGTACGAACGACCATTCTCACGACACCTCGGCGCCCAGCGTCCGTTTCAGGTTGTCCTTGACGGCCTCAATTTCACTGTCATCCATGGACAGGAATCGGATCTAGGGGGTCAGCTAACGTTGTCCTAAATTTCTCTTTTTTTCGATGGGGAGGGGGGGTTTGCTTTCCTTACCACGTCATCGGCAGCACCCGCACTGCCAAAAAGAACCGGCTCCGAGAGGCTCGTATTGATGCCCTTTTTGACCCGCTCTTCCCAGACGTGCTCCCAGTTCCATTCGCCAGGTTTCTGGGGCGGTGGAGGTGGAGGCGGCGGCAGTGACGTTTGAGCAGTGGCCGCGTGAGAGCCGGCTGCGTCACGGTTGGCCGTTTCCTTCTGTGCCTGGTGCCGGTGCGTCCGCCACGCATTCCAGGCGCCCGGGTTGCCGGCGGCCTCGAGGGGGATGTCATCGAGGACATCGGCATCGTCAAAGGTGCTGCGGATGTACTGCAGGACGTCGTAGGTGGACACGGTGGGGCCGGCCGGCGGCTCTGTCAGGAGGTACGAGGGGGTCGGGTGTGTTGGTGTAAATGAAGACCGCTGACTTTGGCCGCTCCGAGTGCCGCCCGAGGGCGAGACACCTGACACGGTCGACGACGGTGTGGGTGTGTTCTGAGCACTGCCCGTGGGCACCATAGAACGCGGTGGCGTCTGTGGTCGCAGCGGAGACGACGAGGGTGAGGATGACGGTTGCCCCTGACTCTGACTCTGGGACTGCGCCTGGGATTGAAGTTGTTGCTGGCCGCTGAGACGCTTGTTGCGGTTGCCGCGGCCGAACCAGGCAGGAAACCCATGACGCAGACTGAAACCGCCCGGCGGCAGACGCTCTTCGTCCGTGGCGCTGACTGTCCCGTTGTCTTGGATGTCGGTTGTGTAGGTGTAGGTTGTGAGGGGGGTGATGAGCGGGTGGAATATGTCGGTGGCGAACGTCACGAGCGGTGGGAGGCTCGGGTACGAGTCGGGAAAGGAGATCTGGAAGCGCAGAACAGCGGGCGCATACGGGCCTGCAAAGGTAGCTGTCAGCTCATTCAGTTCCTAGCCTGGACAAAAATAAAAGTCCCAGAGAAGCGGACACGTACCGTCACGGACAAAGATGACGCCAGACCATAGAGACGGGTCGCCGGGTGTCAGCGTCATGAACACACCCTCTGGGCATGCTTGTTTGAGGCCGGAGCTGCAGCGGTGTGGTCAGCGGCAGCGATATAGAACGGGACCGGGGCACGGCCCAGGGGCGCTATTTCGTGGGCGAAAGACTTACAACTCGGCAAAAAGGTTCTGCCGCCGTAACGCTGGCAAACTCGTGAATCGTGATGTGGCCATGGCCGTAAGAATAGCATATTGCTTCCCTCAAGATGAGAAAGTGAAAAGACGTCCACGTCGTGATCGCTCGACAAACGACATGTGTTTCCAAAAGATCGACGGTTTCATGCACATCTACCCAGCAAGGTGAGATGCGGTCGGAAAAGGGAAGGCGGTGAGCTGGGCGGTGGCCAAATACTGCCGGTCTACTTGAGCTTGAAGCTCGGCTCTAGCGTCGTAGGCCATTCTGCTCAGTGAGGGGCAGTGGGTGAGGGGCTAGAGTGCACGGCGGTGCTACTTGGTGCTTGAGTGAAGTCGTCGACTCGGCCAGCACATCGATAGGTACCGTTGCTGTCGACCATGTCATCGAATGCAGTGCCTGGGTTTTTGTTTGCATTTTATATTTTGTTTCAAGTTACTCTATTTACACGTAGAAAGGAAGGATATGAAACCCGGACCAGACTATAACCTTTCAAAGCCGTAGACGGTAAATATAGCATATTCGGAAACCGAGGCAACGTACGAAGAAAACAGTCAGCGACACAGGCGCACCCTACCTACGCGCCCAACCGCTTCTCGATCTTGGCCTTCTCCTGGTCCTTGATCTGCGCTATCTCCGCCTTGTTCGCGTCGTACCGCGCCGTCACCTGGTTGAACGGGTTCTCTGGGCTCTTTTCAAACTCCTTGCGGATCTTGTCCTTGCGCTGGTTCAGGCGCAGGCCCTTGCTCGAGCCGTCGGCGTCCATTTCGGCCAACCGGCGCTCCTCAAATGCCGCAAAGGCAGCCTTGAAGCGACGCTCCGGGTGGCGGTCAATGGGGCCTGCCCCACCGGCGCCGGCGCTGTCAAGCGAGAGGGCGTCGAGGGCGTTATCGATGCCGGTGGCACTGACGGCAGTCAGCTTCTTGTCCGCCGGGGCGGCGTCGCCGAGCTGGGACAGGTCAAGTCCTCGTGACGGTGCAGCAGTCGTCTTCTTGGTGGCAGACTTGGCGTTCTTTGGGGCGGCGCGGCCGGGTGTGTTCTTCTCTTCCTCAGCGAGCATGGTATCGCGCTCGGCCTTTTTGCGGGCTAGTTCTGCCTTTTTCGCGGCCTCGGCCTCCCTAGTTCGGTTGTCCACGGGTTAGTCGACAAGAACAAGCGACGTCAGGTAAGAGAAAAGGCACAGTGTTGTAGGGGCCGACGTGTCTGCACAAATCAAGCGATGCAACGTGCAACGGACGACGTGGGGACAAACAACGCGAGACGGACAGCCGAACGAAAAGAGCACGATACATCGGCAGCCATCTGGCGCAACCATAACAACCGTTACAGCGCGTATCGTTTCGTGTACCTGTCCAAGACCACCTTGCTCGCCCTCCATGTCGCTGCAAGGTGTCGTTGCAAGGCTGCCACACCAGCGGGAGTGCTATCCGGTGGGCCGTCGCGTGTCCACCCCCATGCCCATGATCCTGGCATACGAAATAAAGAAAAGAGAGAGAGAGAGAGAGAAACTCACTTCTTGCCGGCACCTTTGGCGCCCTTGGACCATTCAGCAGCCTCGTCAGCCTCTCTCCGGGCCTCTTCCGCGGCCGCCTTCTGGGCCACCGCGTCGGCCTTGCGGGCCTGGCCCTGGGCCTTTTTGCTGCTGGCCTCGGCCGCCTTTCTTCCACCACCCGCCATGATGAGGGTAGAATGTCGTGTGGGAGGGGGACGTGGGCCGTTGTCGGATGCTCAGTGGCGCGTGTTGGAAGCCTGAATGCTCAAAACGGGTTGGGCGTGGGTGTATTGAATATGTAGAAACGGACGGGATCGCAATTGCGGTGTGCGAAGCAAGCAAGGGGATGTAGAAATTCGAGAGTTCGGGAGTTCGAGAAATTCGATAAAATACAATGACGTGTGCGGCTTTGTCTTTGTCGAGTGGGCGTGGCGCTGTCTCGGACGACTAATGAAAGTCTTGCTCTCCAATTTGTCTGGGTATGATTTTCAGGTAGTTGATTTTGGTGCCTGGCTGCGCCGGCAAGCCAGCGCCTAGCCTGGTCAGTACTTTCCTTCCTAGCTTGTTTCTCGGTCGTTCTTGCTTCTTTCGTACACCAATAGCTGCGCCAGCCGCTTAGTAAGTCCGATCAGCAGAGAAACATCAGAGCAACAGCCTTACGAGCCCAATGAACCATAGAAAGAAAGAAGATAGGTTGGACTGTTTACAAGCGCGCCTTAATTGGTGCACCTGCCGGAAGAGTATGGAAAAGCACGACAGGCTGCAGCGGGGGACTGTTCCGGGCACGCAACGGAGCCTGCAGGAGCGAGACAGCACAGGATTATTTTGTTTTGAAGTGCAAGACTAGGCATGGCGACACGGAACACAAGAAGGTGCATCCGGTCAAACAGACAAGCAGGTAAGCAATTAGGGGTGCATGGAGGCAAGGAAGGTGCAGAGGAGCGGTGGCGATGTTGTGGACTCCTGCCTCTGGATCGCCTTCTTTCTTATCTCTCCCGAGGAAGGTGGGCAGTTGCTGTCACAGAAACGAGAGAGGGAAGGTACGACGCAGCAGGGGCGAGAGGGCATATCCAGCACCTCTTTTTACTTTGTACTAAATTCTCTTTTGTATCCGCCACCGACTTGTGCAGGACTATCAACAACGCAAGTGCGTCGTGTGGCAAGTCGAAGTGCATCGTGAGCGTAACAAAAAGTGCCTGACCACTATGTCAATCTCGCTCCATATCATCGGACACCAACCGCCGAATGCAGAATCCGGGAAAAAATGAGAGAGAAAAAAACGCCAACTTTAAAGAAAAAAAGCACTATAGAAAACATCGTGATATCGTTGGCAGAAACCGCGGCCCACTCTCTCTTCCAACCATTTCGGCGCCGAAATTCAATAAGTAGTGTCCAACTTGTGCATTTTGTATGCGTTCAATTGTTGTATCATCGTCTCTCGACCCGTAGATTGCGGCCGACTGACCAGTCCCTGTCAGGGTTTTTGTGCATTTTTGCCTCTTGACCGTTTTGCTGCACACCCACTTGTTCATGACTGTAAAATAATCAAACAATAAGTCCCTTCTAGGACATGAAAGGGTAGCCGGATGCAAGGACAAATAGACGAGGCAGATGCAGGGTTGAGGTCACAAGACTGATTTGGCGGCAGGAACATGACAAGAAGAGAAACTGATGTGGCTCGCTTCCGTTCCCCCTTGCTTCACAGCGAGACTTCAAAAGGGAGCCGTTGGCAGCGTGTCGGATACAGGGAGTATTGTTTCTACTTTTCTTCTGCGTTTTGCATGTCTCCCGAAACTGGCCTTATTTGTTCAGCCCTTTATATGCTGCATGCTGCATGCTGCTGTGCTACGGCCGTTTCCGTAAAGGCACATTGTACTGCAGCCACGAACCAGACCTGCCTGACCTGCGTTCACTGCAGGATGAGCACGCAGATGAGCACACCATGTCAAATATGATTGTATCAAATCAAAACATTTTCATGAGCGTCCCATAATTTGCATCACCTCGCGGACGCGCTATTTTGCTTCCGGCGGCCACTCGTCCCTTGCGTCTGCATATTGCAGCTTACGCTGTAATACATTGACGACGCACCTATCCGCTACCTGGCTTCATATTTCGTTTTATGGACGCCCGAGAAACACTACATTTTGGAGGTATTGTCCCGGACGTGAAAGAACCAAGCTGCACCTGCCAAGCAATTTCAATACGCCGCTTTCCAATAGAGCTCGGGCACTAGTGCATGTCTCAATGAATGGAATCAAATTTTGGCAGGTACGAATAGGATATGACAAGGACGATATGTCTGTAGTGAAACATGCACCTTGTCATCAATGTCTTCGTGGCTATTTTCTTGTCTTTTACTTCGTCCTCAGCCGCCTTGTTTTCAGTAAACGCCATTCCCGTACAACTTCCGGTTCACGTCCGTGAAAAAAAGCACGGACAGGAAAAGAATAAAACTGCTTCTGTCACATGAAAAGAAAGACTGGCGCGAAATGACTAATACGGAGGATATTCTCTATAGACGAACACAAGCGAGGGGTCACCGCATGTGTTGTGGACGCCATCCTAACGCCCAGAACTTGTGGATTTATTATTCTTCAATGCCGGATGATGTACCATGGAAGGATTCAGGAAGCAGATAAAACGTCCGTGGTGTGCATGCCATCTAATGTGCAATAAGTGTCACAAGATTAAGAGAAGGGGTGTTTTCTGTTGAGAATAAATAGTCTCGTCTCACGTATACGCAGAGACGTATCATGCTTACGCCGACTTGCCTCAGTGATGCCATCTCACCGGTATATGGACCGCTGCAGTTGGGGGCCATGCAGACCGACATTGGGGGCCGGCGGCTGGGGCCTCGTGAACCAAAGAAAGACTTGATTTTTTCCGGACATGTACCATAAAACCGCTCTCCGAGTCCATATTTGGTCGTCCTTTTCGTCTGGCGGCTTCTACGTCCATAAATGTGACTGCCAAGGGTGATACCTGTGAGGTCATGTCTCTTACCCTGCAGCCTCCCGTTGACCGTGTCCGTTGGATCCGTGCATATGCGAATCAACAGAAGGAAGTAGTACCAATCAATCACGACGCATATTGTGCGCAGCCGAGTTGAGAGACGAGGGAAATAAGTGATACCAAAGAGACACTATGCCAGCGGTGGTCAAATAGCACCGAGATGTACAGAGTACAATGCACTTCGCAACGTGAGAGACTTTCTGAACCAACCGCCAAACCGGCGATCGCAATGCGACCTCACAGTATCAAAGAGATTGTGATAATGAGGAAATGTGAGAGGACTGGCACAAAACCACAAGCGGCTGTGCGGGACTTGGGAAGACCGGTGTGACAAGGGAACACGGCCTTGCATGTCCTTCCCGTGTTTCCTTTCCACTCCCGTTTGCACGTTTGCATTTGTATTTGGACCATTTTGCAACACCAGGTGCATCCCATGTTCCTTTATTTTAACTTCTTGCTGTTGGTTTCTTTCATGTTTTTTGGTGGCTGGCTTTTTGAAGCAGGGAAATGTGATTGCAAATGGTGACTCCTCGCTTGAGCAGGACTGTCGCTCTGTAATGCTTTCACACATCCCCTTTTGGAAATGAGATGCCGATGCCGAGTCAAAGAGCGTAGTCTCGGGAAGAGTGGCGAGTGGATGGGTCGAATGTGGCTTTTTTTTTCTCTTTCCCATTGCGGCAGACAAGGTCCCCATGTTCGCAAATGAATAAATAGGCACACCGCTTGTCTCCCATCGTTGTCGAGGAGGCATGCCACCTGCCTGTCTCAGAAGCGAGGAATGTATGTTGGTATTTGGCCTCAAAACAGTCTGAACGAAAAGGAGGGGTAGGGCTGCCACCTGAGAGCGACCCATGACGATGCGTCAACATTGTTGATGCTTAGTTTACGTTCTCATGAGAAGCCTGGACATACCTTCACTCTTCTCATACCCTGTACAGGGTCGCCAAGAGGCTCCGGGCAACAAATGTCCGTACCTGCCCTGTCACGATGGTCGTTTAGGACTTTTGTGGTGTGTTTTCGCATGTTTAATGACGCGAGTATCCTTTACAGATGCGTTATTCTTGCACAGATCTGCCCAATGATACTGAAGTGTCCTACATTATCTTGTAAGGGAGGCATCCAAGCACAGATGGCCAACGCTCCTTGGCAGACTTCAGCTGCCTGTTCGTCCGTGATAGTGGAGGAATGTGCCTTCAAGCTTTCTGTTTCGTACCGCTTAACCATTCGTTATGGTCCACGATACCGTCTCTCGTGCATCGGGTTGCCCTGGAAAGGACTGCTGTGAATAATGTAGATTCAGCGTTGTGCGCGGAATATAGAAGGAAATCTGAGCAGAGGATAAAGTTTGACAGCTCCGACAGCGTGACGAGACTTTCACTGCTCCGGTAGCTTACAAGTGTCCTTCCGTCGTGAAAAGCGATGGCAGGGATTTTTTGGGGCCAAACCTATGACCACTTACACGAGTTACGGATAGACTCTACCGTGCCCATGGTCAATATATCGTAGAGAAACACCCACCGTTCCCATGTTGGTGAACGACACAGCACGTCGGTTGCCGATAATATGTGCGTAAAGACTATTGATTTCGATAGAAGTGAAGTGTTCGGTAGACGGGGAGTCGCTCAAATGGCGTTGAAGATACTCTTGCTCACGCTGACACGTCGGGCCGACGGGTAGTGTTGCGTATCAATCGTGGAGAACATCGGAAACGTGATCTTGCATTGGCTGGCTCGGGACGAGTCGCGAGTGTGAAGCTTATCACAAGGTTGAACCCATCGCGGCCACTGCTGCAATGGTGGCCAGGAAGGGATAGTCAAAATACCTGTCAGCGTATCAGCTGTTGGTCAGGTCTTTGAAGAAGCGGGCCATATTCGCAGTCCAAGCCATGTACGGAGCACATCGTATTCTGTTCCACACGCCCCGCGCTGTCGCTTGTCGCGGCTTGATGCTGATTTTTGAGATGGGGAGGAACAGAGGATCGTAGACAATATCTTGGACGACAAAGCGATATTCCCCGTGGCACATCCTGCCCCCTCCCCCCCTTTCCAACTCTCGCAAGCGCTTGCATGTCCGGGGTACGACAAACCTGGCTCATGTCGGCTTAGCACCAACGTCAAGAAGAGCACCAGCCAACAAGGGGACGATGCCGGAGACATGCGGTCCTTCGGATGCACCCATCACTTGCTGTAACGATGTAACGCTGCCGGGTGGTTGTTCGTCATTTCGCCCTTTGCTGTTATCAATGATGTTCCTTCCTGATAACGACATGCAAGAGAGGGACGTGGCAGTCTCAGAGCAAATAGCAAAGAAGACTGACTTCTCTTTTCAGTAACATAAAAATAAGTGCCACCCTCTAGCTGCGCCTCTTGGAAACACATCATCTGACGATGCTGACGAAAAAATATGCATGGGGTGGAAGTGGAGAGAGTTATGGCGAAGGAATTGGACACCAACCGGCGGTTGTATGCTTCAGCAACTGTCTCGATGGTCATCTCAGCCACATCATCGTCGTTGTGCCAAGACCCTTCCATTCGGATAGAGAGATGGTCTTTTGTGCGGAATGAAGGCTCCGGACTGCCGCATGGTAAGGGGTTTGAAAGTTAAATCGCGAGCGAGTCAAGGTTGTTAACACCGCCGGTTGAGAGAGGCTGACATGATAGCCGTGGCCAATTATTTTTGTGACGATGCTCCACCGCCCATCAAGTGACACTCTGAGCGTGTAAGTGGGTTGGGTCGATGGCGAACGTCGGCGTTTTTCCGTCACTCGTCTTTATCCACGAAGGGAAAGAAGGACCGACAATCAATCGTTTGGACGTCCAATCCGAGTTCAACACCGCAGCAGTATGCCATGGGTAATTTGAGAAATTTGCAAAAAGGTGGCAGTTCCTTGGAATGCGTTCGGCCCGTGACGAGCCTCTAGACGCTCGAGCCCACGAGGCATGCGAGAGTCCACAACATCGGAAGTTAGAAGACAGCAAAATCCAACATTGAAGGCCCCAGTGCCGTCACTATTGACCCCAAATTCCGCATCTTTCCCGTGAAAATCTTTCCATACTGGCCGATGTTGGTGATGCCACGGCTATTGCCCATGATCTGCCATGATTCTTGCGCCGTGTCATAAAAAGTTTCAAGGTCCGTTTGTCCACATGCCTGTTTGGCATCATGCAGTGAGCAGATTCGTGTGGAGAGTACACCCGGTCAGTATGCCCACAAGGCTTCGGTTGAACGTCGGAACGGACGATGAACGGCCAGGACTATGGTTCTTGCAGCTGACCGGTCTTCTTTTGCCTCAGTCTTGTAGCGCTGGGCAGCTGCATGCAGCTATGCTTGCCACACGAAAAGACTCAGCGTGGGGTGCTTGCCAGCGAACACGGGAGAGGGAAAAGAGCACGGAGAATGGAGGAGAGACAATACTGCGTGCCCTGGCAGAGCGCAGGTTGAGCTAGGCTGGTCTACTGGATAGCATGACTTGTTTTCCCTCCAAAGCCTCGTCGTGATTATCGTGAGTCTCCCTACGTCGTATGGCTTTGCATTTGTCTCTGTCGTTCTGGCAGTGTGACCCCGTGCTCCGGGCTCTGTTCCGTAACATGCAGAGACATTCACAAAGAAGTCTTTCAAGTGCGCTTGTGGTACGGAGTACCTTGCCGAGGGACGGAGTAATTGCCGCCTTATTTTGTCCCATGCGCTGTCCAATAGCTAGCCTGAAGCAAAGCCATACCAAGTGCTTGTTTCCGGGGAAGCCATCCGGGGTTTTGCTCTGCGGGTCCCATAGCCTCTTTCGCCTCGTTTGTCCTTAAAAGCCAGCGCTGGTTAATTTGCCAACATCACACCCCTTTGCCAGGTGACGTGGAAAACGAGGCGTAACAGAGACAAGAAACAACGAAAAAAGAGGATCTATCCCTCTTTCAACTCGCCGTGTCGGGGCGTATCCCAGAGCTGCTGAGCCCCCTGCGGATGTCTTCGGTGGAGCGGCAATCTCGTAATAGCCAACTTGTTCACTGGGGCCACCCCTGTCACCGGCTTCGCACGCTGGATGTCGTTGGGTCTCTTTGTCTCTGGGGTCGCTGGGCCATTTAGCTTCGATGGGACTAAATACTTGGTGGAGTTCTGTCTCGTTTCTTGCATGGCCTGTACCATGATCTCGGAGACAACACAAAAAGCAATGATGTAAAGCAAAGGATAGGTTGTCTTTGGCGACTCAAGTCTGCGCAACGCACGAACAAGCTAGTGGGCAATCCAGGGAGCTCCTTTTGCAAAGCAGAGTGGGAGATGTCTTGGGTGTCGCGCGTTCCGTGTTTCTGTCTTGTTTGCAGGTCCACAGGCGATGCAAGGAGGACGTGGGTGACGAAAATCCGGAGGCCGTCCGGTCTACTCTCCTGTCGCTGTTCGTTCGTTCCTTCCCTCCCAAGTGGTGTAACGCCAGGAGATGTGGGATGTGGCGATCTTACACAGAAGGCGGTCTCATGGATGGGGGCGCCTGCCTTGCCTGCGAGAACCTTGCCAAAACGAGAAGTGACCATTCCAATTTAGTTCTCATACCGCAGACCAGGAACAAAACGAATAACCGACGGGCTCTCCCATGTTGGGTGAGGGAAGGACAGGTCGGAACTCGCATTGTGGTCCCAGTACGAAACGACGGGAAAGAACGACGTAATGGCTGCATGCCTGCATGTTTCTTGCCTTTGTAACTTGCGTGAACGCGTATCGCCGTCGTTTCTTTCCTCTCCTAAACCTGCCTCTTTTCTCGTCCCTTTTTTCGCCACCTTCTTTCCTTCCTTTTGCCTTCTTTTCTTCTGTCGCGGCGGTCGCTCCTGCTGCCCCCTTGTCATCAAACTGAACCATCCCATCGGAAGCCTTCCACAGACAAATGCCCAATGAAAACGGGGCGATGCTTTTGCCACCGCATTGATAATTTGGAGAACAAAACAATTAGAGTCTTTTCCAAGTATGCTTGTCTGTGTCCTTTTCCCTTGCGCTGAATTAAATGGCCTGCGCATACCCATCCATGTGGTTTCCTTCTTGGGCCTAAGACGCAGCCCCTGGTTCTAGCCATTCGGCTTGCCCCCTTTTCGCAAGTGGGCCCTATCACACCAAGATATGTGACGAGGAAAGAGCAATGAACTGCAGACAGGATAACCTGAACCATCAGATGGGAGAGCTTGGGATGGAAGAGCAACCGTCAGTCCTGTCCAGCATTCTGCTAAAGACATCGCCATGGCCATGAAAGGACGCTCAACCTTCACCACTCTTGGTTTTGTGCAGGCCACTTTCCCAGCCCCTGAAGCGTCGAAACAAGACAACCACCACTTTCTTCTGGAACAGCTCCCCCCGCGCTATGACGGAACAATAATTTCTCTCAGCACGACGTACCGGCCGCCCGTTTGACTAGCGAAAAGGCCCTAACCTTTTGGGAGAATCCAACATACATGACTGGCAGGATCACGCAGAACGCTCACCGTCTTTGTTCGGGAGATGGCACTAGGTAAAGTTTCCCGGGCTTCCGTTCTCACTAGCAGCCTGCCAGGGACACGAAATGGTGGGTGGCTAGCAGTTAGTGCAACCACTGACAGGGTATATCACTTACTTTTTGCATTTTGCTTCTGGAGGCGCTTGGCGATTGTTGGTTAGACTGGACTGAGCGCAAAACGGTTCTCATTTTGCGGTGAACAAGCGATTTATGTCCATCTCGGTCGGTCACTGTCCATTGGCCGAGGATTTGAGTTGGCGCAGCACCTTTCGGCCGTCACCTCTCCTGTATCCCTCGTCTTTTCTTTTTATGAAAATCCCGTCTCCTCTTTTCCAACTTTGTTGCAAGGTTGCGGTGAGGTGCAACGGAAGATTTTAATGGTAGCGGCATAGGTAATTACCGTCCTGTTGGACCAGAGCGCCCAAAGCCTTTGTTCGCCCTGTCGTTGCAAAGCCTCCACCCTCTTTACGATGTACTTAATGTTCAGCCTGGTCGGTCCTCAAAAATAAGCGAGCTGTGCTGCAGCACAGCCTGATCTTCCGTGGTCACTGCGTTGCTTTCGGAGAGTAAGATGGAAACGTATATTTTAAGTATAGATACGTGCATTGGCTAACTTCCTATTCCGTAGAGGCGACGTGAATTGATGCCGCCGTCAGCGTACAGGGCTCAACACGAGGTGAACTTGTTCGATGGGGCTGCAAGGTGCCGTACGGGGCATCCTCTTGGAGAAATGCTACGACCGTGGACAGTTTGATGAGCTTGGGCATACTCGCTATACCTTTCGTGATCTTCCCCGTGCGGTGCTCACATGATGTGACCGCAATGCGCCCCGAAGTAAGTGCAACCGGGTCCGGTGCTTATCACCATCCTAGGGGAGCCCACGCCTGTCCTTGCTCCCTTGTTCATTGCGGAGAATGGCGCAAGCTTGAGCTTTGATATCTCAGTTGTGTCTTACATATCTGTGCGTGGGCTCCGAGCTTGTCCGACTGGACACCTTTGTATGTTATATTTTGCCAGGAATTTTGAACAGACAAAACTGTGTTTACAAGGCGACCGCCATTGGTAGGCCGTGATCTGTGAAGAGGGGATGGGGTAACATGCCCAATGTTTTATGATCTTTGGTTGGCCGTCGACAATGCTCGTCACTCCCAGCTTCTCAGCGGCCGGAAGGATATTTCCTTCACGGACCTCTGAGCATACTTTCTGTGTTAATTCCCGTGAATTTCCCATTCTCGATCAGCACCATCGTCCAAGTCGTCAAGCTCAGGGGTCTTTATTATCACGTTGTTCATCATGCCATCTATTAACCGCCGCCACTTTCCATTTTACGGCCTGTAGCCTCGTTTCACGCTACGTCTGTACATAACGCGTGTTTCTTTCTCTCCCTCGACATACTTTCTCCGGCCAAAGAGATATTACTCGCCAAAGAAATGCCGGCAGTCTTAACGACAATGACCCACCAAGAGTGCCTCGGTCTCTCTCACAGGGGCTATCCATGGCGCACCGACTTGTGGTCAACTAGTTAGACCTATCTGGGATAAAGCGGTTGCATCGGCGAATTTCTCTGTGTGTTATGGAACACTCGTACTGCATTGTACTCTCCTTTGTCTTGCCTGCCACGATGCCCAACCCAGCAAGCACTAGCGAGTGCGCGGTCCTTCTTCCGTTCGATTCGTGTTCACGGTATTACAACGGACAGGCGTCTCTGACGAGTCTTGAGCACAATATCCGTATTCCCAAGTCTTAAAACACATCTTGGCGAGCCAGGGCGCAAATGTCGCGCGGAGCACCGGGGTCGTTCGACTCGCGGTGCCGACTTGCCGTTCTCCTAGAGCGAGATCAATTCCTTAGGCTTATTACCGCATTGGGATGCCAGCCGGAACCCTCGAAAGAATTGTCGCTAGGTCAGTGTCTTCCCGACGATAACCCGGTCCAATCCCATGCCACACGTTAGCTCCAATCACATCGGCCCCCTGTTTCCTTTCTTTCCTTCAGCAGAAAAAGAGGGCGGTGTGCGAGTTCGATCATTTTACCCTGGGTTACCGCGTTTGCGAGGACAGGTTCAAAGGGCATTTTTATGCAAAGCCGATGTCTTGTGATACGATAAAAGCGGCGACGTAAAGGCGCAGAGGATTGGCAATGATACGATGACCACTTACATGTGGAGTCTAATAACAGGTAACGCCTCAAACGCTCAGTCTTCCCGCCTGAATTACAACCTCCGGCCGCGTATCCCCCCATTGCCGCCTTTATTTTGCATATGCAAAGGACTCCATATCCTACCTGGTTTCTCGAAAACAGAAACGCAGCATCGTTTCGCCCGTACGCCGAACCAGGTCGCTACAGCGCGCGGATTTTGTGTCCATGACACAGCGCGGCCGTTCTTGATTCAGTTGTAGGTAAGATATGTGTGGTCGCAGCGTGAATGCTGTGGATGCTTAGCCAAGAGACGTACTGGTAAGAAAGTATCTCCTCGCGATCCTCCACCATGTCAGGATCTTGCCGCGGATCGTGTTTGTGATAGATCAGTGGCCGACCTGTAACCCAATTGTAACCAGACGCCGCAGTCAGTGCCACTACATCCTACTCGTCGCTTGCGGCCGTTCCGTATGTTATGTCGCTCTGATTACGTCACTGTCTTGACCGTTTTACACGTGGTACATGGCGGTAGTGGCAGTCGGCTTGTCGGCAATAGGCCGATCGTGATGTCTTGCTGAACGAGGTTGGACTGAAAGAGATTTTTAGTGTTTCTTTTAGTTATTTTTTTTTTAAAAAAAAAGAAGAAGAAGGAAAAAAAGAAAGGAAAGGAAAAGGCGAATGCAGCACACCTCGTATCACTACTGTTCATGTACGCATTTCAGGCAGGAGTCAGGCTGCGGTGCGTCGTCCATGCTGCTTTCTCCAGTTTGTGTTGGGCGTCAACAAAGGAAAGAACCGGTCGGAAGTACACAATAATTCCCTTTTCTGGCAATCACACGAACAGGGAAGGCGCAACACACATCAGCACTCTGTGTCGCAGGGGTAGCATCCTTCCGCGTGGTTTGCTCAATTGTAATGACTCTGTACAACATACGCCGTGCACTTATTGGTCGCGCCTTCTTTTCAACAAATGTTTACACTTGGCCTTTTTTGTCAGTCCTCTCACCCTTCCCCCTTTTCTTGGCGACAATTTCTCTTCAGCGTTTGTCCTCCCCTTTTACTCCGTAATCTGCATCTCCCCGCGTTTGGCCCATCACATCGCCGTGTGGTTTTCATCTTCTATCTTTTAGACCCTTTTGGGGATGGCATCCGAGCGGCCCAAACACGCACACGAAGGGTCATTCACATTGTGATCCTCACCGATGTCAAAGTGCTGGTCAGGGCTTTGGTCCACTGAATTGGCGTGGCAGGCTCCACTGCAACACAGAAGCGATGTACTGTGGAGCAGCGTTGCGCTGGCTTGCGGCAGTGAGACCCACGGAGACTGACAGTCAAGAGGCCTGGGGCAAGCGAATCGATTTTACCTTTGCGAGGTATGTTCTGTCCAGCCTTCTTTTTCTCCCGTCTTAAAACGGAGTACTCCGAGAGAGGGCGGACCCATCTTTGACCAAGAAAATGACCTTAACGGAAATACTTCGCACACAGACCGCATTCACCGCATCCCCATTAACCCCCGTTCCTTCGTCACCGCCAAGGTTCCGAGCGACTTGCAGAAGGACTGAAATACGAGCAGCAACTTCGACTACTACGCGGACCAACTGAATTGCTTCCACGAGATATGCTGGAAACGCTTCCAGTATGCCGATTTGAGTCTCCATTGCTGACACTTCTCTGTACATGCCTTCACCCCTGTTTTAAACGTATCCATACGACACATTCCGCAAGGTACGATTAGTTGAGGCGGGATAGTGGACACTGCCATGGTCAGCGGCGACACAAAAATAGACACAACATGAGCTGCCCTGCAAGCTGCATGCAAGCTTTACCGCCGCAATGCCCTGCAACGCCGCTTCCTCCGACCGTATGTTGTACCAGGCGGTCTCATGTCCTCTTTGTTTATAGCTTTGGCATCGTGGCTTAACCCTACCTCCGGCCGATGCTGCTGCCCAGCTTACATGTAAGGATGCACCCAATTCATGCACGGTGCATACCTGGTGGATTGACCTACTCGCAAGGGCCTGCCAGGATAACGGGCAAAGCATCAACCGACCACAGCGCACATTTGAAGGTGAGGCGAGGAAAAGCAATGTAACCACCCTTCAAGCGGTCAACCGGCCGATGCAAGATACCTCCCCTGCCCTGCGGAATGGAGCGGTACACCGGTCGCTCTCGATGGCAGTACAGTATTCAGAAGTGTCTGCGAGAAAGGCGAGTCAGATCTCGAAGAGCCTTTCTCGAATCGACAGCCTGCCGTAGTCTGCTACGACATGCCACACATGACGGAGGATACAAAAATGATCTCAATAACGAGCGCTGTGTACGCAAGAGAACGGGTACACAGCCATACCGCGGATACCCAATCCGTCCCTCTGTTACACCACCGTTGTTGTAAGACGAAAAGGTGGACCAGCGCAAGGAGTTCGGCAGCCATGCGCGTGACGGAATGTGGCTGCAAATATTGCGGAGCGATTTGTATCTCCCGACATTTTTCATCGGAGAGCAGGGTGCGGTCGCAAGAGTCCGCTACAGCCTATGGGTGGCCACCGCAGTCATCGCTTTAAAAGGCCACAGTCGCACCGCACACTCTAATATATTTCACGGCCGAGCGTCTCAGCTTTCCGTCAAACTTTGTGCAGTCAGCAGCCTCGGGGAACGAGACACTAATACATTGCGCGACGTCCACGATACTTTCTGTCACTTTACAAAACAAAATGGTATCCCGCGCCACGAAATGCAAAGGCTTCGTCTTGGGAGGAACATCCTTGTCCATCCCAGGAGACGGCCAGCGAGCTAGCACGCGCTAGCGTACCAGAAGCCATATTGCAACGGGGGTGGGTGAGCCAGCCTGTTGGACCCAGGCCCCGGACTTTGTCTTTTCAACGAGGGTCCATTAAAGCGGCATATTTTTCTGATTTATTATTTCCTGGCTTGGGTCCGGCTGAGCCATTGCCAGTTAGACCTTCCAAAAGATCGACCATCTGGTGCCCTGGCATTTTTGTCTGAGCTAGTTGGTCATGGCTGTCACCGCTTGTTTCCCCGACTAGTGGCCAGGCAAAAATAAAAAGAAAAGAAAAGAGAAAAAGGACTTGCGTGTCTCCCTCGGCGCACCCCCCTTTCTTTTCCCCCTTTTGTCCTCACCCCTTGGACTCCTTTTGCTTTTCTTTTCTTTTTCTCAAAGGCACAGTCATCTAACCCTGCCTTGTCCCTGCAATGTGAAAGCGACCTCTCCATATGGTCCGTGACCTTTGTCTCAGCCCTTTCTGACGAGTTACTACGCAAAATGTGAACCCATATATCCACTCCCCTCCTTCCTTCCCACTGTCTCGGCTTTTAATATCGTTTACCGTCCTGTTTGTTTTCTTTTACAATTGCCTAATCCTCACGATTCCATTTCATATTCTTCCCACTTCATATCTTTGAGACAGTTGTCCAAGCTTCTGTTGTCCTTTGCAAACTTGTCACTGTTACAACTCATTTACCTTCGTCCCACTCGCAATTATTCTCTTTCTTCATGTTAATATACACATTGGTGTACATACTTTCTTTCGACGGCTCTGACATATGTTTGTGTTTTCCTACCTACAAAAACCATAGGTCAGGCTGCGACTCGTTGCCATATTAACGTATCAAGCAACCCAACAAGAAGCAAGGCCTCAGTGTTTGCCGCTTCATCTTGTGCCCAATTCTATTCCACTTCTATTTTATTATATTAAGAGTCTCATCCTTTCTCTTAACTGTCAAGATTTCACTCTTGTCTTCCTTTCAACCTCGAAACGCCCTATCCACAGACGCCCACTCCACGGCCTACACCTTACACCGACCAGACACCACATCGATCTGTTATTAAACAGGCAAGGAAATTCACCATGGCGAGAACCTCGACCGCCCCTCTTCTCGGCGGGAGGGAGACTCCCGTCTCGGCGCCCAAGAAGCCATTGCCGCCTTTTCCCAAGAGACAGATGTTCGTTCTTGGTACGTTTCCAACCCTGAGAAGACTATTTGCATCGAGACTTTTTGCGTCACCAGTGGCCTAACTATTTTGACATAGCGCTGTGCCGTCTTTGCGAGCCGATTGCATTCATGGGCATCTTCCCATATATCTACTTTATGATTCAGGATTTCCACATCACCGAGGACGAGAAGCAGATTTCGTTTTATGCCGGCCTGGTCACATCAGCGTTTACATTCGCTGAGTTTCTCACCGGCGTCTTCTGGGGCCGGCTCAGTGACAGGATCGGGCGCAAGCCTGTGCTGATGACGGGTCTCGCTGGTACCGCCTTGAGCGTGATTATGTTTGGCTTTGCCCCGAACTTGACCGTCGCGCTCATCGCACGTGCCCTCGGCGGCATTCTCAATGGGTACGTTTGCATCCTGACGGCTTCCACCCAAGCCTTACCCGTCTTCCGGAGAACTCTTTTCAGGCTAACCATTGTCTTGCAGCAACATTGGTGTCATGCAGACTACCGTCGGTGAGCTTGTCAAAGTCAAGGAGCACCATGGTATGTCCTGTCTTTTTTTTTTCAGTCAGGAATATATGGACAAAATCCTAACCTGATACCCAATTTAGGCCGCGCTTTCTCTGTGATTCCCGCTGTTTGGTGCATTGGGTAAGTCGCACACCTCGCAGAGCATTCTCTATGTGGTGCCGCAAACACCGAGAAACAAAACACTGACATATTTTACCGTAGCTCCATGATCGGTCCTGCCATCGGAGGCGCCCTTGCCAGACCCTGCGTATTCTATCCAAGCATCTTTCGTCCTGGCAGCATCTGGGACACATACCCATACCTGCTTCCGAACCTGTTCAGCGCCTGCGCCGTTTTCATAGGCCTCTTCGCCGGTATATTTTTTCTCGAGGAGACTCACCCCGTCAAGAAGCACGAGATCGATCGTGGCATCATTCTCGGCCAGAAGATCGCCGCCCGCTTGTCATGGAGGAAAGAGTCTACCAAAGGCAAGAAGCTTCGGATGCTAGCCGAGGAGGAGCCGCTTATCGATGCCGATGACCAGCTTCCTGGCTACCAGACCACTGAGGCGTCGCCCAGCCTTGTTTCCCGCGACAGTGATGTAAACCTGCGGGACGTGGGAAGTCTCGATCCCTTTGATTTGGATGCGACGACAAAGCCCACCAAGCCTGCCGAGACCCTGTCGACATCGAGCATCTTCACGCGACCCATCATCCTCAACACGATGTCGTTTGGCATCCTTGCTTTGTATGTATTTTCTCTCATGAACCTTGGTTCTCTTCCGGTCGGTCACTAACTAACATTGATCAGCCACACAATGACGTTCGACCAGCTTCTGCCAGTCTTCCTCAGCACAGCACCGCCCACCGGCAGCGATATCGATCTTCCCTTCAAGTTCTCTGGTGGCTTTGGCTTCGACAACCAGACGGTTGGCATCGTCATGGCTGTGCAGGGCTTCTACTCGCTCTTGTCCAACACTTTCCTGTTCCCATGGGTCATTGGTCGAATTGGGCCCCTGCGTCTCTTCCAGCTTGTCGCCATCCCGTACTTCACGCTGTACCTGGTCACGCCTTACCTTGTCCTGCTTCCCGACAGCATTCGCATGGCCACGGTATACCTTGTCATCATCTGGAAATGCACCTTTTCGACCCTGGCGTACCCGAGCAACGCCCTCATTACTATGCACCTTGCGCCCAATCCTCTTCAGCTGGGAACAGTAAACGGCGTCTCTGCGTCAGCCGCCAGCCTCTGCCGTGCATTTGGTCCGACTATTTCGGGATTCCTGTACGCTGTCGGCCAGGAGTCTGGCTTCTCGAGCTTGCCATGGTGGTGCGCAAGCAGTGTCGCGATCATGGGAGCATTCGTGGCGATGCAGTTGACAATGCCCGCAGAGAAGCTGTTGGAGGAGAAGACGGACGATGTCGAGACCGCACTCCCGCTGCTGCAACCAGTCGCGGGGCCGGCGGGGGTCACCGCTCTCCTTCATGAGGAGGACTGAAACGTTCGTTTTATTTGTCTGTTTCGATGATTTTCTTCGATTATTCCCCCTATTGTCTGCCATTTCCGACTTGTTTCCTTTGATATTTTTGCCATGCGACGCTTTACATTTATGCACGGAGTACCGAGAAACCAACGACGCCCTTTGTGCATGCTTTCTGCCACTTTATCACTGTTGACAGTTTTTCATTTGCGCTCATACCACTTGTACATTGAATGGGTTTATTTTAGGGGAGAGATACAGGATTTGGAAAGGATCTATACACCACAAAGATACACGCCGATGGAAGCTGACGGGAACAATCTGCTTGGGAATGCTTTGGCAGTAGAGTTCAACCATGGGCCTATGGTTGCTCTTTAATGCGGTTACGTTTTTCTTCAATGATCTTTATTTGCCATGTTTTGTTTCATTAAATATTTACTACACGTCAACATAAGAGACACTGTTCCATGGAAAAGGGCTATCAATTATTCAGGCTTTTTCTTAAAGCATTACTACGGGCTGAATATATGGTTTACTTCTAGTCGGCTTCGTTGACGGCACCATTTATTGCATAGTATGCCATTCGTGTCCAAATACTACACATTCTGCACACCACTTGCAGTGGCACCAAATCGATCTACTGTTTCTCACGGTAGAAACACTCAATATTAATACATTGGCATGTTTTGATACCGACAGTATGGGAACACGGCTGCTGGCGCTCCACAAATCAGCTGCTAAGATGCCCGAAAGGCAACGGTGTAACATTATTGGCACCGCGTATTTTTGTTTTTGTTTTAATTTAATATTTGTTTTTTTTGGGGGGGGGGGGGATATTTTCCCGCCTTTGGAACATCCTATCTCGTGCAGTTTATGTCTCGTCCAAGAATTTTGCGCAAGCTGGTGCTGGACGTCAAGTTCCGCACTTCGGCCGCGGTCCGTGTATGTTCGCCCTCAACGGTCTGTATCGAAAAACCATTCGACGTATGTCGGACAACGTACTGTTTCACTCAAAATGCACAAGCCCGGTATGTCCTTGTTGTACGTACGACCAGTTGGAGACTTGCTTCCCCCACCCTTCTTCAGTCACGCCAAGCTCTGTCGGGTTAGGTTTAAGAAAAGAGTGGGGGAAGCGGAGGTCGTCGATAGCAAATACCTGAAGAGGAACTGAAAAGCTCACCTGGGTAGCATTTGCAATGACAGCCGCCGATTCGTCGAAACGGTCGTTTCTTATCGCAAAAACAAAGTCCTAGACGCCAAGGGTCAGAAATGGGGGCAATACGTGCGACATGGCAACAAGAAGTGGAGAGTAAAATACCGAGAAGCAAAGGACTGAATGAAGATAAAAAGAAAAAAGCGAATGGAGAAGAAGGAGAGAGTTGGAGGTGAGAGACAAATAAAGAGCAGAGAGCCCATAGTCAAGTCCTATTCCCGTCTGTGAAATAGTAGGCGGGCGGATGCGCAATGTGCTGAGAGATAGGCGCTTGCGCTTTCCTAGTTGGGCATATTATTTCACGCATCGCCCGATGCTTTTTCGCCCTTTGCTCTCTTTGTCTGTGCCTCTGGACGGTGCTGTACGGAGCATGTAAAGTTGAGAACGGTCGTCCTAATCTTATCGTTACCATTTTCTTTTGCTAATTTCCTTGGACTGTTTCAACTCTCACCCACAGCCTTCCCAGTTCGCGCGTAAATCTTTTCTCGTGGGTGTGCCTGCCTCCTAGATCGGGTTCCCCGCGTTCTCACTCGCACTTGCAGCTTCTACGACTTCAACCGTTACTGCTTCGTTCCTTCTCCCAGACCCGGTCCCTTCCGCAATCGTCCTTTCCGTTCTACACCTCTTCATACTCGGTAGTCACTTCCTCGGAAAGACTTCGTGTCATAGCAATCCAAGAACATATACGGCAGGCACAATCCCAGCCTCAACTACTCCTCTTTTTCTCTCCACGGTGCTGCTAGTTTTGTCCAAGCCTCGCCGCCCGCTACAACTTCCCCAGCACCCTCGCCCCGTGCCCTGCGCACGAGCGAACATTCTCTTCCGCACACGCCCCAACTGCCGCCCACCGCAGAATACACTGCGCTGGGGTCGTCTGAACACTCGGATTCTTGAATGACGACAAAACATTCGACTCAACAGTAGCACACTACGAACAAAAGGCAGCGACTGAGACTCCAAAAGCGAACCATACTATGGGGCCAGGGCGCTCCGGCGGCGACGACGACGACGGAAGAGAATAGCAAGAAGTTAAGCACGGTGCCGTTGACCTGGTTTTACTGTTTGTCACTTGCCTTGTTCCTCGAGACGAACGTGCTACCTGTGCGCCGATCTCGCCCTTCAGGCTCTTTTGCGCCTCGTTTTGCGACGAAGCTCGAGGGCGGCTTTTTGCTGCTCAACGGTGCTTCTACAACAAGTGGGACGATATAAGAACTCGCGATATTCCCTCTATAGCACCCATAGCAAGCAGCCTTGATGACCATGGCGGCCCACGCGCCTCCATCACCAAGTGCCGTGCCAGCCGCGAAGAGGATACGCCAGGCCTCACCCAACCGCCCTTCACCCGAACCCACGGCAGAGACTGTACCTGAGGCATCCACAACATCACCAATTGACGATCACTCTACCGGCGGCGCCGCGAACGCTGCGGCCAGCAGCGCCAATGGAACCAGCACGACCGCCGCGGCGCGCTCTGGCAGTGCTGGCGGCGGTGCTGGCGGCGGAGGGAAGGTCAGCCAGAGCAGCAACTTCCGCAATGTCAGCGCCTGCAACCGGTGCCGTTTACGAAAGAACCGTTGCGACCAGCGGTTGCCCAGCTGCGTCAGTTGCGAGAAGGCCGGTGTAGCCTGCGTAGGATACGATCCCATTACAAAACGAGAGATTCCACGAAGGTACGTTGGCCGATAAGAAGCGGACGCTATTTTTTCTCTTCCTTTCCTTTGAGTATGTAGAAGAAGGTCTGCTAACAGCACACAGCTATGTTTACTATCTAGAGACGAGAATCGAGCAGCTAGAGGCTCTCTTGCGGGAGAACAAGATTGCCTTCCCATCCGCAGAAGAGCTTGAGCATTCAAGCACCATGCGGTCTCCGACAGAAGCCGTCCGCAGCAGCGGGCTTGCGGACCAAGCAAAGAGCGGCGCCTCCTTGGACGTGGGCCGGAGCAGGAGCGGAGGCGGCCATGACGTCGGTGGTGGTACCGGCGAGGACAGGTCCGACAACCGGGGCAACAGACAGCAACACGACGATCTCCACAATGATGACGACGACAATGGCGCTGCGTCGGCTACCAGCCGGATACAGAAGCTGGTGGCCCGCGCCAATCAGACCCGGGATCAGGGCACATCAAACCCGCGGCATCTGGGTGCGGCGACGGGTGTGTCCTTTGCGCGTGTCGTCTTTGCTGCTGTCCAGTCGTCCGTCTCGGACCACAAATCCATCTCTGACAAAGGCAGCATCCGCCCCTACAAACCCATTGCGGGCAACGGCTCAGTCGGGGCCGGCACATCCATGCGCGACTCGTTCTTCGGCCTCCATACGAAACCCACGATCCATCCGGCTGTGTTCCCTGATCGTGAGCTGGGCCGGAAGCTGGTCGGCCTCTACTTTGAGCACGCCAACCCCCAGATACCTGTTCTCCACCGCGAAGACTTTATGCAAATGTTTGAGCTGGCGTATGCCACAGAAGGACGCGTTCGCGGGCCGAAGGAACTGTACATGCTCAACATGGTGTTTGCCATTGGCGGCGGCATCATTGTCGGCGACCACGGCAAAAACGACGACGCGGACGGTGAGGGCGGTGAGAGAGACGGCGAGAACAGCTGCGGCGGCACGGGAAGTCGCTTCAAGCAGTGCCAGCCGGAGGAGTATCATGCCAGCGCCATTGTGCACCTGGAGGCCTGTCTGAGCAACAGCGGAGGCGGCTTAGAAGAGCTGCAAGCAGTCTTGCTGCTCGCCAATTTTGCCCTTTTGCGCCCTGTCCCGCCTGGTCTCTGGTACATTATTGGCGTTGCTGTGCGGCTCGCTGTCGATCTCGGGCTGTACTATGAGGATGGCAAGGATGTGGAGGCCGGACTGGGCTCCAATGCCGCAGCGAACGAAGCACTGACGAGAGAACGCGGCCGTCGGGAATACGTACGCGACCTTCGGCGCCGACTGTGGTGGTGCACGTACTCGTTTGATCGGCTTGTCAGCGTCTGCGTCGGCCGGCCGCTTGGTGTCTCCGATCTCGTCATGACGACCGAGTTCCCCTCGCTGCTTGACGACCGTTACATTACACCTAACGGCTTTTTGCGCAAAGAGCACGACCCCTCCGAACCCACCTACAAGCGCGTGGCCTACCACTACTTCCACCTGCGCGTTCTGCAATCGGAGATTATACAGGTTCTCCAGTACCGGCAAGCGCAGGTGGCCCTGGCTACCTCGACTGAAAAGAACCACCCGCTCATGTACGCCGACCTACCGTCGCCATTCCTTGCAAAATTCGACTCGTTCCGGACGTGGCGCATCGACATCGACCGCCGCCTCTACAAGTGGAAGACAACCATGCCGCCAAAGCCGGACAATGGCGTGGCCTTTTCTACTGAGTTCTTGGAGCTCAACTACTGGCAGTGTATCATTATGCTGTACCGGCAAAGCCTGAGCGTCCCGCCCATGTTTGAAGGCGAATACCACACCTCCAAAGAGGTCAACAACCCGACAGCCTATCAATCAGAGCTGCGCGAGGACGAAGAACGCGTGTACCTCAAAGTCGCCGAGGCCGGCCAGAGGATCCTGCGTCTCTACCGCCAGCTGCATCTGATTGGACTGGTCAACTACACGTACCTGGCGACACACCACCTGTTCATGGCTGGCATTTCGTATCTTTATGCAATCTGGCATTCGCCCATTGTACGCAGTCGACTGGTAAGCCTCACCGTCCCTTCCCTCTCTCACAAAGAAATAATTTTAAAATACTAGAAACTAAACGATATGACTATGACAGAGTATGGATGAGGTCGACTTTACGATCCTGGCTGCCACGTCGGTATTTTCTGATCTGATTGAAAAATGCCCGCCTGCTGAAGCGTGCCGTGATGCCTTTGACCGAACAGCCAAGGCGACGATCAAGATGGCCAACTCAACGGGTGGCTTTTCACAAACGGCCTCTTTCCACTCCTACCAGTCCCGGCGGCAGTCAAGAGGAGCGGCCGATGGACAGCGCCTGGACTGGGGGTTTTCACCAAACGAGGTCACGACGGCCTTGTCGACCACCTCTACCGGCTCAGGGGACAGTGCTCATGTATATCCGAATGCAAATACACAGAGCGCATCGTCCAACAAACATCACCACCAATCGCACCATCGGAACCAGCAGCAACGGCAACAGCAGCAGCAACAACAGCAGCAGCAGCTTCGGCAGTATCAACAACAACAACAACAACAACAAAATAGCGTCAAGATGGAGCAGGATGGCTTCCCAATGATGGACACGGCGCTCAGTATTCCACGGAGCAACGCTAGTTCTTATGATATGTTGGGCACACCAGACGGCTCAGCCGTCGACCCGTCGACCATTCTGACCTCGCCGACAATCAGCCAGCAGCAGCAGCAACAACAGCAACAGCAACAGCAACGACAACAGCTGCAGGCCAACTCCGTCTACACTCCCAATGGTCAGGCATTCGCCGAGCTGCAGGGCATGGAGTTCCTCCAGGACCTCAACACCAACATTGGTGACGGCGCCGGACCCCTGATTGGTGGTAGTGGGGCGGATGGCCCGATGGGTGACCAGCAAATAGACTTTGGCCTCAACTTCGGATGGGAGGGTATGCACCACGACTTCAACGATGGCCAGCAGCTGGACTTGTTTGATGGTTTCTTCTTTGGCGGTCAGCAGGGCGGCAACGGCGGCAGCGGTAATCCAGGTGGCATATAGTTGCTTTTATTTGTGTTGTAAGAAAAGTTAATGTTTTTCGACGTATTTTGGGAGATACCCCATCTTAGGTTTATTTTTATTTTTCGAAGTATATTATTTGTTCTTTTCTAATTTGTTCCAAAGACGCAACATCTATTTTACATGAATTCTTCATGTAGAGTATTTAATGCAAAAAGTACAAACCACTGTTAACACAGAAAGATACATAACAAAAAAGGAAAATGTTTCCTTCATCGCGTACAAAATCGCATAGACAAATGTCTACTAATAACATGTTGGACGTTGGCCAAAAATTAACAAGACGTGAAGTACACAGAACGAGATAAAAATCAATATCAGAAAAGCAAACCCTCTGCCTGATCCAGTCATCGCAAACAAACTCCAAACTCGCCATATTCCATTAACTTGGCCCACACCATGCCATCCGGATTACCTACCGGCCCGGCTGACCTTGCGCCTTGACCGCCCCGGTCCCGACGAGTTCTCCTCAATCACCACGACTTCATCGTCGTCATCATCATCGCTGTCGACCCTGGACCGCCGCCGCCGCCGGGCGTCCACCTCTTCCTCAACAACAATCTCGTCGTCGTCGCTGTCGACTGTCTCCACGACGGACGGGCCGGGCCGCCCGCCGCTGGCCCGCCGTATCCGCTCCTCCTCGACCACGACGCGCTGCACACGTTCTGGCGGATCCACAATGACGGGCCGCACCCGGCTGCTGCGGATCTCCACAGTCTCCCGCCGCCCGCTTCTCCGCCGACGATCGCTGTGATGGCGGTGGCGGCGGGCACGGCGCTCGTCACGGCGTGAGACGTAGCTGGAGGCGCCGCCAAAGCTCGATGCAACCTCGACGACGCTACCGCCGCCGCTCATAAAGCCACGGCCCGGGCTGCCGTTACCAATGTTGACAATCATATAGAGGAGGGCTATGAGCAGCAAGAAGCCGCCGACGGCGCCCAGCGTGATACCGACAACGACACCCGCAGTGGGACCGGACACATTGGCCCCATAGATGGCAGGAATTAGGCTGCTCTGGGCGGGCGACCGCGCCAAGACGGCGCTGGCCGGAGCGTTGGTGGAGAGAGTTGACGAGAGAGACTCATGTCGTTGTTCGAGATGCTTTGGTGGCACGTCTTTTGGTGTGCTGTGAGAGATGCTGGGCAGTGAGGTCCGTTTGATTTCGGGCGCCATGGGCCGCGGCGCGCGCAATGCTGGGGCCATGGTTTTGTAAGGTTGAATCGTTTCCGATGATTTCAAAGGCGTTTGTCGTCGGCCAAAGGAGAGGGCGCCTAACAAAAGACGTCTGCGCGGGTGCGGAATGATTATGGTACGACGAGGGAAGTATCGTGAAGCTAATCAGCTGGCATGTAGGACGAAACCAGGCGTGTGACGAAATGGGACGATGCACCGCACCGTGAGACGTCAAATGCTGTAGTCTTCAACGGAATACACTCCCAGCTTTGACAGAAGGGACAGGATGAGTTAATCCGAGACCAGAGTCAAGAAGAGAGCGAGAGAGTGAGGCCCAGGCAGGCCCTTGTCTCCACGATCGACAGGAACATCACCGCGCAAGGAATGCGGGCTGGTGTCTCGGGCACGACCGTTGGGATTTCGCCCGGGCGAAACCGTATGCGCTGCCTAGAAAGAGAAGGAAACGAGAGAAAGAGAGAGCCGGGTCGTACAGTTGGAACGAAATAAAAAACGAAAAGAAACGACTTGGCAGTCGCAAAAGAACGTGAGGGATGTTTACAAGGGTGAGTTTTTGTTGGAGTCACTGGCTGGAACGCTTGGATTTAACGAAGGGCAAACGTGGGAGGAACTTCCTGTGGTCGCGTCCTGTCCACCCGAGCCTCACACATGGGCTGCATGATGACGAGTGGGCGATGGACTTCGAAGCGATTGCGCCCGCTGGGCAGGGTGGGTTGGTTATTCGTTGTTTTGCGCGTGGCTGCAGCAACGAGCTGCAGGTTGCGCAAAAGTGGAGATCTGATTGGTGAGGGGTGATCGGTTGGTTGTGCGCACCCATGATCCCTGTCGATGCTGTGTAAATAGATGGAAAGCATGGGAATACAGTCAAAAGACACCGAAGATGACATAATAAACAAATAAATGCCACCAAAAATGAAAATGGAAAAGAAATGGAAAAGAAGGAAAGGAAATAAAAGAAGAAAGAATTTGATATCGTATCGTCGTGCATTTTGAAAATGCGACATTCTGTAGAGTGTGTATGGTGTCTTGTCCAAGAAGGTAAACAAAACAAAAACAAGAAACGCCTAACATCCATCTCTTGTGCCGTCGGTATTTTGTCGGATTTGGTCTAATTTTGCGCATCGCGGCGCTCTATCGCTGCACCCCCACCAAACCCGGACATGTTTCTCTCGCCCATTATTATACAAGTCCACGGATGCCCCGGATACCTGATAGATTGGGCTTCTTGTCCCTCTTGTCCCCGGGCTCATCGCTCCTTTTGCTATCCTTGCGCTCTTTGCGAAGTGTGTTCTGGACACCGCCTTGACAAAGGATATTAGTATACGACGTATAGATGGGAGTGAAGAAACCGCATCTCTCAATCCTCTCAATTCGTAATCACATACCTCTGCCATAGTATCTCTCGGCCTGTGGGCTCGTACTGCCGGGTGACTCGCCCCTTGCTTCACCACTTGGATGGGGCCCTGATGGCGTAGACGGGCGCCTGACAACGGTGCTTGGCGATGAAACGGCGGATCCGATGCTGGCCGACATTTGTGCGGGCCAGGTACTTCCCGGTGATGGAGCGTCGAACAAGCCGGCGTCCGATGCCACGCGCTGGCGGTGCCGATGTGTGCCACCACCGACGCTGCCGCGCACGGCGATAGGGTGGGACCGCTGTGTGCCGGTGTTGTCCAACTCCGGGTCTGATAGGGCGGCAGACTGCGCGCCGTAGTTCGGCTCGTCGTACGGTGGGCTCGTGCCGAGCTCAAGTCTCTTTGATTCGAGAAGCGTGTAGCGGCGCATGAGCCACGCGTACTTCTTCTGCAGGTCCATATACTTTGCTCGGCTGGCCGCCAATGCGTTGTCGACCTGTGCGCGCGTTTCCGAGATGTTGACGCTGTTCCCAGGATCTTCTCCTTCACCCAGGGCCTTGCTGAGCTTGGTGCTGAGGGCAACCACCTGGTGTTGGTAGTAGGTCCGTGTCTGGGCAAGGTCAGACTCGCGTGCCTCGAGCTTCATTTGCAGCAGTTTCAGCGCGCCCTCCATATGGGTCACCTCGTCTTGCGTCTGCTCCAGTTGCGTCTCTAGCTTTTGGCGCTGTCGCTTAGCGGCTTCCATTGTTTTGACCTCTTCCTTGAGCTTGTTCATCTCCGCCGCGGCGCTCTCGAGCATCTGCATGTCTTGTTTGGCCTTGAGCTCGCGCACTTCCATCTCGCACACGATCGCAAGCAATCGCGCACTCTCCTGCTGGGCCACTTTGAGTTCGCGCCGCAGGCTCTCTTCTTCGGCTTTCCAGGCCTTGTGCTCCTCGCTCAGTTTTTTGACCTTGCTGGCGAGCGAGTCGCCCCAATTTCTCGACATGTTGCGGCTCATTTCGGCTTCCTTTTTGACCTGCGCCTCGGCCTTCTTAGCCTCTTCGAGGCGCTGCTTCAGTGTCCGGTTGGCGAGAATCAACCGTTGGGTCTCGGCCTCCGTCACGGCCTCGCGGACATTGCTGCGGCGAAGCGCACCAATGTGTGCCAGGTGCTGCTGGACCATATAGCGCTCAAAGTTCAGGTCGTTTTTCGACAAGAGAATTTGCCGACGCATCTCCATCAGGGTGTCCTCGCTGGCCTCTGCGTTCTTCCCAGCCTCGACATCGTCGACATTGTCCAGCTGGTGGAGGGGAGAAGGCGCAGCCAAGGAGGGCTGGCGCAGAGATACCTTGGAAGGCGATGCGAGCCGTTCAGGGATCGACTCCTGGTGACTCAGCGACAACGACTGCACGCTGTCGTTGGCTTGACTCTGGTAGATGCCTAGCTTGGCGGCTCTTGTGGAGTCGCTCCCATCCTGAACGTCTGTACGCGACGTCGTCATTGAGAGCAATGGGCCCAGGGTCGGGCTGTCGGTCGTGCTGTCCCGCCTTTGAATGTCGGAGGGTTGGCTGCCTTGCGACGCTCGCCGCATAATGGCCGAAGGGTCTCTGCTGCTTGTTGACAAAGAGGCAAGGCCTGTCGATGCGGAATGTCGTACCGCATTAGGAACAAACTGATTGGGCGCAGTCTCCTCGTCGGCAACGTCACTGGCCACTGGTAAGGCCGAGCTTCTGTTCGAGAGAGAGGGGAATTGGTCCCTCAACAGGTTGCGTTGTGTGATACTGTCATTCCGAAGGGCGTGCCGCTCGTCGACCGATATATGCAGAGAGACACATTCAGCCACAACATCAGCTGTGGCGCTCTTCATCCACCTTCCAAAATCGGTTTTCTCCGATTCGATCGTCAAGCTATAAAAGTTGGGGTGCAGCATGTGGCACTGACGGTACTTTTCAGACCGGTCACGAATCTCCGAAGGCTGCACCTCCACGTCATCCGTGTCTTTGGCGTTCGCATGACGGAGGTAGCGTTGTGGTTTGCGGATGTAGTCCATAAAGTTGAGCGGGTACAGCCCGTACAGAATATTGAAGTAGCCAAGGAGGTGTGGGATGGCGAGGCGGTCAATCTCCGGTGTGAAGGTGCACTTCTCCCAAACTTGGGAGGAAGAGCTCTGCTCCAATGGACTAGCTATGGTTCCGAGGTCGTCGGCGACGGGCTGTTCCCGGTCCCAAAAGAGGATACGTGCGTAAATATTGAAGAGGGTGGGAAGGTAGGGCACGATGGAGCCTGGCATGTTCGGCAGCAACATCGTCAGGCACGTCAATGCCAGGGACACAACGGTCGTCGACGTGTCATTCTGGAGGCAGCGTAGGAGGCTCTCGAACAGCGGCGACTTGACGATGAGGTAGAGGTGTGGTGGCTGGCTCCGAATTAGTTCAGAGAGGAGGCTAATCGAGCGGGTACGGTAGAATTTTTGGACAAAAAATTCGTTGAGGACGTGGAAGAATTCCTGTGTTACTGTTAGCCAACCCGAACATGCGAGAGGGCGATCAAATTCCACCGTAGACAGCAATGCAGTAGCGCACCTTTGGCTTTCTCTTGCCAAAGAGAAGAAGGACCTCTTGCATGGGCTGCTCCTTGGTCCAGCCCGAGCTGTATCCCTGAGTCAAAACAATGTGGTACACGTCCATCCATCTCTGTAGTAGTCGCAGTCCAAGAGCATACGACGCAGCCTCTTTGTTGGTGTCCTGGGCACCACCGTTGCCCTCGTCGTTGTCGGCGTCGTCGTCGTCTGGAAACAAAAACTGCCCAACATCAGACAGCACCTCGCCAGAAGGGCCTCGCTCGTCACCAAGATGGTCAAACACAGGCTCAATCAGCTTTTCCCACCACTGCAGAAGATACGTCGTCGACCGGATGGCTGGCCGCAGCTGCCGTAATATGGCTAGGAAGCACGCATAGTGGACAGACTGCTTGTTATGCACAGACTGCGAAAAGGTCGTGAGCAGGTCCTCGTGCAAGCGGTCAGACGTGGCCTGGTCGTGATCAGGGTGTTTATCGAGGTACGCGTCGAGGGTACGTATGACTTCATCGGATAGAGGTAGCTTGGGTGAGGACAATGACGCTTGTATGGCCCTGTGAAGGTCTCGCGTCGAGCTGGAGGTCTGTCAGCACCTGCTCAATCTATTTGTCCTGAAGCCACAATGGAGCTGCTCACCCGGAAGACGACATAGTCACAGCTTTCGATTACAATCCTCTGACTGCAGTCAGCGTCGTTAGTCACTCTGTCGATGTCGCGTAGCCTCGTCCTTCAGGCTTGTGACAGTTGTCGTGGAATGTTACTATCTCGTCGGGGAAGTTCGGAGGCCACCGAATGCCGACGCAGGGGGAGTCCGCCACAGGCACTATATGCCTCGTCGATGGAGTTCCGCCGTAGCCGGTCCAAGTCTATGCTTGCATCATCGGTGGAGGTCTACGGCGGGTGAAAGCTGGTAGCCTCCGTCGAAGAGAAAGCTAGACAGACGAGACAGGAGGGGTTGGAAGCGTTGTGAATGAGCGCGAATGGCATGCAACGACCCGTCGTTTGTCCGTCGTCTCTCGGTCGCAACGTGAAAGCCTTGGATGTGAGTCCGGGTCCGGTTCTGGGTCTGTCGCGTGCGGAAACGGGAGGTCTCAGATGAATTCGCCGTAATTTGCTGGACACAGCGACATCGTCGAGCTGACTGGACCCAGAAATAAAGCGGGCTCTTGCGTAATTTAGGAATTATTTTTCGATTATATTTAATTAAGGTCTTTCACTGCGTCTCACTGATCGTACGCTAAACGGCCAGAGGTGCAGGTGACCGCAGCTCAACCCCGCACGACTGTGTTGTGGGTCGTGCCTGCCGTCCGTGATAATCATGCTGGAGCCAGTTCGATGTATGAGCTACTTTTCAGCATGCGCGATGAACCTATTTCGTTGAGGTAGCGCTACCTTCCAACATGTGGAGTCGCCCCAGGAAACTCGTCCTTGGCTCCTGCAGTTTGTCCCTGTTAGTGGCGGCAGCAGGTCCAGGACCGACCATGCCGTCAGTTGGCCTACTGAAGTGGACTGAAGTGGACTGAAGTGGACTGAAGTGGACTGAGGGAAGGCGCATACCACGACACCTTGCGACAACGTATATACGTAATACCACACTGCATACTGTATGGTGTGACGGGCTCTTTTGCCCGCGTCCGATGGGCAACAAGAAGGAACGGCACTGAGCTTGTCGTAAGTAGCAGAAAATGGCCTCACGTGGTACCATTATGATATGTCTGCTGCTCTGGTGATGTCCCTTTCTACACGTCTCTAACGCAACATGGGCCTTAGCTGTTGCTCTCTTTCCTTTCTTGCATTTCTTGCAGTTCTTGCAGCTCTTGCCAGTTGTGTTATGTAGTCACTTCGTGTAGTCCCTCGAAGCTGCCTCTCTTTTGGGAATTGAGCGTGTCGTTCCTGCCCGCCTGTTCTTTTGTTTGTCCGCGTGCTCCTTTCTCCTCAGCAACAGTTCCCCCTATTTGCCAATGTGCTTTGTTCCCCCTCACTCACCCCCTTCCCGACGTTCTCTGTTGCAGCTTTCCTCCCTTTAAATAGGAACCCCGCCCGCTCGTCTGGTTTGGTTCGAATTCATTCTCTCCATCTTCTTTTCTTGCCCAACTCTCTGCACATAGCACTTCTTTTCATCACAAATCATTCACGATGGCTGCGAAGACTTCTGCAGTGGCTGATCAGGAGCCACTCTCGGTCCTGATCGCCCTGCAGGACAAGTTCGATCTTATTGACTTTGCCGGCCCGCTTGAGGTCTTTAACTGGGCGCAGCACGACGCCAAGGACCCTGGTAAGTGATGCGGCGATACGGCAATGGCAAACCACAAAAAGTCAATGCCATTGAAGGAAATTGGCTGCGTGGCCTTGGGCTAACGCGCCGTCTCCTTCTCTAGATACCAAGGCCTTTGATATCACCGTCGCCGGTGGCGAGCCCAAGGTCCTTTCTGGCCAGAATGTTGTCATTGGCTCGCAAATCTCGTTCAAGGAAGCGTACGATCAGCTCGAAGACTTTGACATCCTTGTCATTGTGGGCGGCAACACGGCAGAGATCCTCAAGACGCGGGCCGAACCTCTGGGCCTCATTCAGAAGTTCTCTGAACTGCAAAAGGCCAATCCCATCCAGGAGCGCACGCTTCTGTCGATCTGCACCGGCTCCCTCTTTTTGGCCGACCTGGGCATCCTGGCCGGCCTGTCTGCCACCACACACCCCGACTACCTCACTACATTTGAGAACCTGTGCAGCCAGGCTGCGACACGCAACTTGGACGAGCGCACTGACGTCATTGAAGACGCGCGCTACGTCGTGAACAACCTCCGCTTCGACCTCGGCGACGAGGACGACAACCCATACATCCGCCGCAAGTCGGACGCCCGCCGTCCTTCCAACGCAAGGTATGTGCTGCATTGGTGTTCGTTGGCTTGTGTAAGCAATACGCTGACTTCTTTTTTTATTACAGAAAGGGAAGCATCTCCCTGAAGGGATCTTCGCGCCGCGAATCCATTGCTCGCCGTGCTGCCATGCGCCTCGGTGGCCTGCGCGTCATTACTGCCGGAGGCATCTCCTCCGGCATCGACGCTGCCCTCTACACGGTCAGCGCCCTTGTGTCTGAGGAAGCGGCCAACGAGGTGGCCAGAATGCTTCAGTGGACCTGGACTAAGGGCGTCGTCGTAGATGGCTTGGATGTGTGAGCGGTCTGCCGGTGAGAGCCATTTGGTATTCCTGAATCAAAGGAATGGCATCAGATGGACAAGAACCGTTGGTTTCTTGACTCGAAGGCCGCCGCACTCCAGGCAAAAACAAAAAGAAAAAAGTGCAAAATTGACCAAAAAAAAAGTTAAAACATGGAATTGTATATCAGGAGTCATCTGCGGCCAGCTTTACGAGATATGTATGATTGAACATTGCTACGCCATTTTATTATTATCCAATGCGGTTTGTCGTATATTGTAGGGATGTATGTTTCCTGTGAAGTTGAAAGTGGTCAGATCGAAATGTTTGGAGTTGCACCTGGCAGGTCGTGCTAGGTCCACATTTGGAGCACATTGAGGTCCCCAATCTGAGCGGTTTAGCGGCTCGATTGTCAGGTATTAATCGCTAACGCAGGCTGGCACAAACAAGATGACTCAGCATACATGCAGCCGTTTTGTCCTGGCAGCCAATGGAACTTCCGGTCCCAGGCACCTATCTATTCTAGTTGGAGCTTCCTTCGTACTGAGCAAAGTATATGCCTCCATCTATCGACGACATCGCGCAACCGAATCCGCGACACACCTGAACGACACTTATCAACGTGCGCACATACTACTATAAAACCCCTATAATTTATCTTGGCGGATTTCATCTTCACTCCATCCTTAGACTCGACACCAAGCGACCTCCTGAAAAACGCCGCGCGAAGCGAACGACGAAAGTGGCCGACGGCACGCAGCAACAACAGACACAATGGCGAACGGGTTGGTGCTCTTCCCCTATCTGACTTATTCAATGGAACGCGGGGAGGCAGAAGAGGCGGACGCGATGGGGACGGAGGCGTCCCGTGGCGAGGCTGGGTGACGGCCATACAGAACGGGGAGACTGTGAACGGGAACCTTTCGAGCCGAACTGGAGGGCTAACACAGGGAATTCTGTTCTCCCCGTCTTGTCTAGGTGGAGCATCTTTATCGGCCTGTTTGTTGTGGCGGCCATGAGCGTGGGCGCGTGGTTCCTGTCACCCAAGGGTGAGAATCAAGTGTGAGTTGACCCAGAAGTCGATTGGGCGATCCGATCTTTCGTGATCGGACAGCTAACCTATGGTAACAGCCTCTGGCGCTCGTCGCTCATCCTGGCGTTCTCGTGCTGCTATCTAATGTGGGCGATTACCTTTTTGGCACAACTGAATCCCCTGATCGAGCCGCGACGGTCCGACCTGCGGGCTGCCTTCATACACGAATAGGCGGTATGCGACAATTCTGACGAGACGCGAAGCTGCACGACACCGAGCCAGGCGTCTCGAGCGTCCTTTAATGGCTATACTACAAACCGACTGGACCATATCACTCATCACACATCATACTCCACACATAACATATTTTCTATTTTCCACAACCGGCGTTTATTTGTTTTCGGAACCGCCTCATGACATGGCTTCCCAAGCGACGTACATATATCGGGGCGACGACGAATGAGGAGATCCTGACTGGAAGACGAGAGCGTGGAAGTCTCTATCATACGTGCTTTGTGGAGGGCAGTCGGGGACGAGCACTAACCGAGGTTGCCAATTTGTCAGGCCTTTTGTGTAAAGAATTGTATCTGGTGGGATCTGGAACTCCGTGGTCTTTTTCTGTTTTGCATATGATAGACAAGAAGACGCTTCGTCGTCTTAACAAACTTACTCAAGATGCTAAAGTGACCACGCCGTACAAGGGTGTTTAAAATGAAATGGGGTTTGCACTAGTCTCATTATTCATTTGTGTCTGGGTTCTCTATCGCAAACTTGTATAGTCGACCGTTTTCTCGAACGACAACCAATGGCATTCATACAAGATTTAACCAACCGCCAGTCTACCCGCCCAGTCGCGGACCATACGAAATACGGCCCAGAGCGCCCTGCCGTCTTCGGCCATACTGCTCGCGCCAGCACCGTCCACGTCACCGAGTCCCACCACCCACAACACAAGCCGCCCAATAGCCCATCGACTCAGCGCCCCGGCCATGGCCAGAAATGCTGCGGTGCCGTATCCACAGTCGAGCAGGATTTTCAAGGCTTCAATATTGTTGACGACAACGGCCCACCCGAGCGACCGCGCCGCTGCCGGCACGTCGTATTCCCAAATCACCATGAGAATGGGGAACAGCTTCGTGGATGAGCTGACGAGCAGCGCCGTCGACACCGAATTTGGGCGGTGGAAGGTCGGCAGGATGCGCATGCGGGCGAGTGGTGACAGCGGCGAGGAGGTGAGAAAGCGGATCGAGAAATGGAAGGCGAGGGTCGAGAGGGCGCAGAGGACGAGGTAGAAGAAGTACTGAAAAACAATGGGCTGCTGGGCCAGGCGGCCAATGTCGGCGGCGGAGGCAGCAATGTCGGCCGGGTTCTGGAGAAAGGAGGAGGCAGCGGAGGATGAGGATGACAGCGACGACAAGGAGGACGGGGCCAGGGAGAGCGCCAGCGACGAGGCCGACGCAAACGACGACGCAAATGCGCCGCCGGCGGGTGCTTTGAGGAGGGGGGGCACAGCTGCTTCGATGGACGCTGGCGGAGGCGCCGGGGACGACAGGGGGCTGGACGCGCCGCCGCCGCCCTTGGCCGAGCCAAACAAGCTGATGGCGTCTTCGGGGTTGGACTGCCGCTCGATGCGCACCCACGTCAGGTAGACGTCGAAGAGGAGTAGAAGGACGCCGAGGCGGACAATGGATGGCTAAACGCGTTGGCGTCGAACAAGACAAGAGACAAGCTTGAAGGGCAACAAGGGTTAACAAAAGACTCACATCAAACTGGTCGCCTTCGCGCATGAGGGTGTTGTGCAACAGGTGACGATAGACCTGGGGCTTGATAAGGACGAGGTCGATGAAGATGACGACAAAGTCGTGCTCGACATACTTGTCGCAGAACTGACCGCAGTTGCGACAGACAGTTAGCCGAATGTTGTGGCCACTAGATTTGTCGCCGGCGCCCGTGTACTCGGTCCATAGCGTCTGGACGGGGTACTGGCACTCGATGCAAATGGGCATCGCGGCGGTCAGACGAGGAGGTAGAAGTATGATGAGGAGGGTGGGGTTCAGTCCGACGGGCCCGTGAGACGACTAGACGGCAGTTCAAAGGTCCATGTTCAATCTAGGTCTGTATAGAGTCGCGATGCCGGAAGTTGTCGTCGTCAGTTTCAGGCTGTTGCCGTAAGCCGCCTGGAAGTGTTGTTAAGGGCGTTGTTGTCGAGCTGAGCGTCGATCGCGCCCCACGCCATATTAATTTAGTTCTTGATATTACTAAGCAGAACCTCGCATATTTCACTGCAAAGTACGACATACTTTCGACACAACTTCGACAAGTGGTAGACTGTCTTTCACATTAATTGACTTTAGTAAGTAAGTTTTTCTTTTCAAATAGTTTATTTGGTGTTAAAGCTCACAGCCGCAAGCCACATAAAGGTGGTGTCTTGTGGTTGTAAAAGGGGGTATTGAATCAGGTGCCGTCTATGCCAGAACGAGAGGTACATGAAAGATTGACTAGAGACATGAAAAAAGTAGCCAAAGAACGGAGAGGCAAAATAAGAGAAACAAAAAAAGTGAAGACATAAGAAAGTGTATATAACGTCATAGTGTAGTAGCCGGGAGAGTCGACAGGACGATGTTAGTCGTCCTTCTTGCCTTTGGCACGTCCGGCTGCCGCAACAGCGCTCCTTCCACGAATGGAACCCTCGCTTTCGGTACGCCAGCCCGTCGAAACATTTGGCCGCAGCGTCTGTCCCGAGTTACTTGTGGTAGCCGTTCCCCCAGGGCCGCCGTCCTCCCGTGGCCCATCCTCTAGCTCGATCAGGTCGCCCAGCGTCTCTTCGAGCTGGCGTCCGATCCGCCCGGCAAAGGATGTCGAGGGCGTGCCGGCGGCGGACCCGGGCGTTCCAGGCCGTTTAGCAAACGCCCCGCGTAGCCAAGTCTCGATGGATGCGGCCGCCTTGTCGAGGCCGTTGTCCTTTAAAGCAGCGGCCGTGGACGCGTCGCGCCCGTCTTCAAACGAGCTCTCGACAATGCTGGCCCGCTGGTCGTCGCCAAACCCAAAGTGCGCTGTCTCGGAGCCCATGACGGACATGGACGGCAGCGTCTCAATGTTGAGCCCTGGCAGATGCTTGGTGGTCCACTTGTTTAGCGAGTCACGGGCGGGCCCGGGGGCACGGACGCTCCTGCTCATCGAGCCGACACCACCAGGCCGCCGCATCCATTCTGGACGGGGATCTCCGACTGGCTGGTTGCTGCTGGTCCGACCCAGTCCATGGCGCGAGGGAGACGACGATATAGGGGATGTGCCTGGAGCGACACGGTTGCCGAGCAAACTAGGCCGGCGCGAGCTGCGGTTAGGGCTGTCGGCGAGGGGCCGTTCCGGCAAAGATGCGTTGCTAAGGGAGATGTCAAGCGAAGCGCGGGGTGTGGAGACAGACGAAACGGAGCCGTGGATGCTCTTCTTCCGCCGCGGCGGGAAGTAACCAAAAGTCGTCCTTGACATGCGGACAATCTCGACCGGATGTGGGCTGGAGTCCAAGCGCACCCAGCGCACATGGGTCCATGGCGGCTCGGAGACGACGTCATCCGCCACTGATTTGCCGGTGACGGATGTCTTGCTGGAGCCAGCCGCTGGCGAGCCAAAGTAGTCGCCATCACTCACGCCATTAACTTGGGAGGCTGGCGGCGGCACATTGCGCGGCGTGGGCGTCGACGCCATTAGGTCTACGCCCTGCGGGAACAGGGACGGATCGTCGCAAGGTCTGCCCTTGATCTCGCAGGCGTCGACAGGGAGAGCGACCCATTTCCGGATCTGGATATTGTCCCGCGACCAAAGACCATTGGCTTTCCGGAAGGCGTCCTCGTTGCATCGGTACTTGAGGATGATGCCAAAGTAGGTATCCGTGGCCTGTACACGGTGGATATAGACCAGGCAATCCTCCACCTCAGCCGCAGCAGCCGAACCACGCAGGATCTCGTCCGAGTTGCGTTTTTTGAACTTGCCCCGCACATCGAGCCCACCGTTCACACCGGGATGGCTCTCAAGCACGCTGGCCGTCATCCGTGCTTTTAGTTCGGCTTCTCGTGCGGCGGTCTGACCTGCCGCCACGTCTTGTATGCTGGGCCGCGAGGGAGATGAGCTCTTGTCTGGTGGTGCAGGCCCCCATGCAGAAGGCAGTTTCCGTGTGCTGACATTCCCGCGCCCTTGCGGTGATCGAGCGCCAGTACTCCGGCTGCGCGGTATGCTGCCACCGCCGCTAGAAGAGCTCCCGCTCCCGGCCAGCAGCGTCGTAGCAAACTCTTGAATGGAGGACCAATTGGGGACCCACGCAGACGCGGCAGAGGACGAAGCTTGCAAGCCACCGAATGTGCTCCCTGAGCTACCAGAGTGTAGGTTGGTGTAGGATCGACTGGCGGACAGGGGACTCAGAAGACCGCCGGTCATGGATGCAGCCGACGAAGAGGATGACGCGCCGCCTGTGGCAACGGCGGCGTTTGGCCGTCGATTGCGAGGACGGGCAGCCGCAGCCTCGCCGTCGGGCGTATTGACGCCCGAGGACGAAAACATTGGCGGGACGACGCGGCAATTCTAGGCCGTCCCGGCTTGCGTCGAATTGTGTTGTCAATCGGGAAATCGCCGGGATCTCGGATTGGTCACAGCGCGAGCAGCGGATCCGTCATCTGGATCAATTGTGTCTATCCGTCGGCTGCCTGGCTGGTGGTTGATGCTATCGAGAAGGCAATGGGAGGCGATGAGGCAAGGGAGGGCGAATCAAGCCGAGCGGCGGCTGAAGAGGGCTCGCGGTGTGTTGCTGATGCAAGTCGGAGACTCGGAGGAGACGAGAGTTCGCGGCGGGTGATCTGTCGGTGTCCTCGATCGGCTCAGCAGCTTGGGATTGGCTGCTACGAAGTCTGGCTTCGAGAAGGGAACATCCTTAATCGACGCGGCGGGACGTAAGTCAACACGATGCAAAATCGCTGAACTAGGGGAGGGCAGGCACCAGCTGGCCGAGCGCGGTTGGGTGCTGAGGAATATCGAAATTCTGTACTCGGGGGTCGATGTTCCGGCCAAGAATGGGTCAAGCATCGACAAAATCGTTGAAGGTTGAAGCTGACGAAAAGGGGCGCAGGTGCAATAAATGCTGATGGAAAGCTTGGTGATACCAACAACAGGACATAAGCACAGAGCAATGTGCACATACGGTGCTAGGTTACAAAATTACTGGTGCTGGCAGCTGACGGCGCTGTCCAAATGCTAGAAAATGTGCCTGTGGTGGGGATTGCACTACAGAGCAGTTATGCTAGGTCCAGGACACTTCTCCCGGTGCGAACAGTGCTTTCGTGGCGGCATAGAGCCTGTATCACCGCTAAATAAAGTGGGACATCGTAAGCAGAGTGTGGCAGAGCGTGTGGAGCGGACCTTGCAGCTTGCTTGTCAGTTTAGCAACCGTCTGCATCCACTGTAGTGTCCCTGGCTGAAGAACGCGTTCCTTACGTCCTCAAGTCAGAAGTCATTGATTTACGCTTTTCAAGTGTCAATTATCAAGCCCTCTCAAAATTATCTTGTCAATGTTGCCCACATTTGCTGCATCGGACTTGGTCGTATATTATATGTATCCTCTTCTTAATATGGCCTGAAACCTGTCGTCTGTCGTTTGTCGTCTCTCGTTTGTCATTTATATCCAAAACAAGCGTACAATGGAAAAGTATAAATCAAAGACTCAAAAGACAAATAAAAGAAATATGTCAGATACAATCCAAAAAAGACACGCTGTTATACTCTATTCCAAAACACCCAAATTGCGCCAAGTAAAGTTGTGTCCTGGCATGTTCTTGTCAAAGGAACCGCCCAGAAAATCCAGAATCAATGTGTCAAGCAAACTCCCTTGAGCCACGCCATATCCCGACTCTCCACTCAATGGTCGTCTTTCGGCTCTCCTCACCGCTGCGCACGTGCCATGTCAAATACGGCTTCGCGGAACCCTGTCACGACGCCGTCGGCCAGGTACACTTTGCCATCGTCGAGAGCGCGACCCACGCTACCGTCGCCCAGGCTGCACACGGTGACATAAAGCTCCATCGAGTTGCGGTACAGCATCAGCGCGACAGCCGTCGCACAGCTCAGCAGGGCTTCCGGTATGTGGTACTTGCGCTCCATCTCTATGGCCCAGCGCGCTAGGTCCGTGACGATGGGGATGAGCAGCAGGATGAGAGCGTAGATTTTGGTGACGAGCCAGTGCGTGGCAATATGCGGCAGGGAGCGTTTCTTGTAGTATGCTTTTTGTGGGGCTCCTCCGGGAGGCGATGTTGTGCCGGGCGGGAGCACGGAGCCATACAGGCCGAGGTTGTATTGTTGTTGGAGCTGCTGCAGCTGCTCAGCGGATAAGGAAGAGGTGGAAAGAGGAACCCCGGACACGCCGACAAGGCGCTCGGGCGCTGCACTGCGCAGCTGACTGAGCTCGGCGTCTTGGAGGTCGTCCGGAAGGCCGCGCAGCAGATAGGCGATGCTCTCGACGTAGATTTGGCGTTCGAGTTCGGGCAGACGATCGGGGTCGCCCGCTTCACGAAGAGCATTCTGGAGATTTCGGAAACCTAAACATAATGTTAGAAGAGGTACTAAAAAGGGGTCGACCTGGGAGAGAGACGCACCATTTTGTGCATATTTCCACTTCACGTCAGACGCCAATGGCTCAACATGGCTCTGGCGCATCCGCGACGCCAGGACAAGGCCCATGTCGTGCGCGTCTTTGGTGCTGCCTCGCCTGCTGCTTGGTCCTGCCGATGTGGAAGGCCGCGACGGTGGCGGCGAGGAAGCAGCCGATGAGATGGAGGAGAGATCAGGTGATGACGGCGTGTCGGATGGCAGTGCCGCTACTGTTGACGTCGACTCGGAGCGGAAGAACATGCTCTGCATGCTAACCGTACGCCGCAGTGACGGAAGTTTGGGTATGCGCGACTGGATCGACGTGGGCAGCGCCGCAATCAAAAGAGACGACATGTCGTCGGTGGGCGGAGGGGGGGATGCGGGTGCGGATGCTGGTGACGGAACCATATTCTGAGTAAGGTAGGTCACGTCGGAAATGCGGGAGACAAGACTCATAAAGACGATCGAGGCGATGTGGCGGAAAAAAAGAATTCGGAATTCGATTCGTGCAAGAGATCAGTGGAGAAGCGAATATCGTACACAAAAATCGAGAGATGCAGAAAATTGTTCAAACCCGAGATGTGATGCGTGGCGTCACAAACGCTTCTTTGTCGGCGTCTGTGACAAAGAAGCAGAAAACGAAAACGAGAAGTAACTCTCTCTGAACAGCTCAGGCTGGTGAGACAAAACAAAACAGCTGTTAGAAATGCCCAACTGCGCTGCCAATGAGGCCGGGGCGGAGGACGAATTCCATTGGCAAAATCCGAGACAGGGAGGAACAAGAGGAACGAGGAAGGGCGAGCATGATAAATGCGAGACTGAAATGTTATCTTTGTATCTTTGGTCTCGCTCCGATAAACTTTCTTCAGTGCTATAGAGGGGCGCAGGGCCAGACGAGCATGTGAAAATGAAGTGGGTCGGCCATGTACGGGAAGGTGCCGATTAGTCAACCACACATTATCCCACGTGCTATTCTGTTCTGCACAACGTCGAAACACAAAGCAAAGCGGGAAGGAACGAATGGTCTATTGAGCAGAGTGGTGTTCTAAAGTGGAGAAGATAAGGACAATGCACGCCATTATGAACGTAACATACAAAACGGTAACAAAATAGTCGAGATGGTTCGTCCTGGACCCCAAGTCAACGATCAAGGGACAGGCATAAATACGAGAGTAGCGCAGACAGTATCAAACAAAAGGAAACCAAAAGGAAACCAAAAGCAACCGTTGCCCCAAAATCCAACGCAAAACCCCAAGGACGCTGCTCTAGTCTCCTGTACTTTCCGCTTTTTTCAACCGGCCCAAATGTATGCAATCTAAATGTACAAGAGAAAAAAGGTATCACTCGGCCGCTCGCCAGCTTCACATTTCCGATCTTCACCTCGTCGTGGTGTCGTAGGAGTATTGAAGGCGACAGACGGCAAATAGCCAAGTAGGCAATAGCCAAATAGTCGTACAAAGGCCCTTCTCCAAGCCAAACCATCGCTTAGCTCCGGTCCCTGGACCAGTCATTGAACCGACCGTTGTCCCCTCTTGAGCCGTAGCCGGAACGTGAAGGGCCGGACGAGCCACGGTAGCCGTCGCCACCACGACCAGAGCCGCGTTCGTAGCCTCTCGAACCACGCGAATCGTATCTCGAAGCACCGCCGGCGCGCGGGCCACGGTTTGAAAAGTTTCCGGACGAACCGCCGCGCGAGTCGTTAAAGCTGGACGAGAATTGTCGCTCAAACTGGTCGCCACCAGAAACCTCGTTAGAAGACCGACTATCCTGGATATTCAAGCCGCGCACCCGATGTAGGCCCCGCTTTGTCGCAATAAATGACGAAATTGCTGGCGGCTCTTTCCAGCCCCAGCCATTGTACACCCAGTCATTGAGGTTGTCACACGTTGTCTGCACGTTTCGTCCAGAGCTGGCGCCGCCTAAATACGACAAGTACGCATCCACGAGAAGGCTCCCAGGCGTCGACTTCATCGTCTGTGCAACCACGTCGATCTGTCGCGGACGATCCTCAATGCTCTCGCCATTCTCACCATTCTTGGCGTGGTAATCAGTCATGTCGTAGCTTGCACAATCAAATCCGGACACGCGCTGAATGGGCAGGTCCGTCAGCATTTGGCGCGCCACCGTAATCTCGTTTTCGGCAATAATAAGCCAGCCCTGGCCACCCTTGTCAGCACGGCCCGTGCGGCCGAGGCGGTGGATGTATTGCTCCCGGTCGGGCGGGACGCCGACCTGAATCACGTGGGTCACATTGGGGAAGTCCATGCCACGCGCCGTTACGTCCGACGAGAACAAGATCGCGCTCCGCGCATTGCGGAATTGGTCGGCGGCATCCGTGCGCGCGCGCTGCGTTAGCTTGGAGTGGATGTGGTACTGTCTCGGCAGCTTCACCTTTCCATGACTCAGAGTGTAGAACACATCCTGCGTCAGCTGCACCATGCTGGTCGTCGACAAGAAGACAAGGGCCTTAAACGGCATCCGGTCGCTACCCGGCGTGTTGGCAGCTTCCATCTCCCGCTCAATCAGCTCCAGCAGCGTCGGGTACATGTTCTCGTAGCCACGTACCGGGAGGATGTGCTGCGGCACCTTTTGGTGCGTCAGCACGTCCTCGGGCTTGATGGTCTGCACAAACTGGAAGTTCGACGCGTCGACATACGTGCGCGCCAGCGACACCACATTCTTCGGCACCGTCGCCGAGAACAGCAGTGTCTGCCGCGGCACGTTTCTGCGGTCCGGCAGGTATCGTAGAATCTGGCGCAGCTCACGCTCGAAGCCCACGTCCAGCATGCGGTCCGCTTCGTCCAGTACCAGCGCCTCCAGCTGGGGCGCGCCGATGCCACTGTCTTCCGAAGACAGCAGGTCATTCAGACGGCCCGGTGTCGCCACAAGCAAGTGGCAGCCCTCTCTTCTTGTCTTTTGCAACATGGCATTCCGCTGAGTACCACCAACGGCCGTCTGCACTATAATGCCCGTACCTCGGATGAGCTTGCGGGCCTCCGCACCAATTTGCTCTGCCAGCTCACGAGTCGGCGACATGACAATCGCACGGATGTCGCTGGCGGTGGGGCGGTTGCGGCCGGGATGTGCGAGGTCGGAGTTGTTGTCAATCATTCGCTGGATAACGGGAATGAGGAAGGCAAGTGTCTTTCCTGTGCCGGTCTTGGCCTGTGCAACACTGATTTAGGTGTTAGAAGAGACAAAGAGGTAAACGAGATATGGATGTAGCGGAAAGACGGTGAAATTACATGTCCTTGCCAATAAGAGCAGGCTCCATCGCCATAGACTGAACGCTCGTCATAGTCTCGTAGCCCAAGCCCTGGGTCAGCGAACGAACCAGGTTCTTGTGAACACCGACTCTCTCCAGGTCCGAGAATTTGGTGACCAGGCCCGACTCGCCCTTGTCCTCTTGGGTCTCGTCTGCCGTGGCATCGGCAGTCGCGTTGCTGGTGGAGTAACCGCGGCCGAACCGAGCAACAAGGGACGGCGCCGGTACGACACGGCCCTGGAAAGCAGCAGTTTGGGTCAGGCCCGCAGAACGCACGGCCGTCGAGCGGAGGCTGGCAACGATTGAGGCGCTCGAGGCGCAGGCTGCACGAGGCAGCCGGGCGGCTCGCAAAATCGAGGTCCGCAACATGGTGTCGAATTGGTCGACGTGAAGAGTATTGACGAAGAAAAACAGACGGATTGAAGGGTTGTATTCGACGCCGATATAAATTGCTTCGGGAAAGTTGAGAGATCTGTCAAGTGCAAAATGCGAAAACGATGCTGCACGTTAATACGATAACTTGAAGACGAAGCGTGGATGGCAGAAAAAAAAACACGAGGAAAGTAGCCTGAGAATTGGGACGACATGCGAGTCTTTCGCAATGCGATGTACCAATAGTAACAGAAATTTTCGGGCGGCAATCAAGCTTATCGATAACGCTAGTACCCTTCGGGCGGACGCAAATCTTTCGAGGACTAGGACGCCAAATGTAGTCACGTGTCAAAATACGATTAGTATGTAAAATCCTTGTTGTGGTGCTGAACGCAGTTGCCCCAGCTACTATCCGCGTGTTTGCAAACACGCGTTCCCCGCGCCTACCAATCGCGAGCCTTGTTTACATCACCGCAAAATCGGCAAAAGCGGTGACGCTTTTGAGATTCCAACCTCTCCAGCGCCGACACCGCCGACGACGACGACACAGCACGACAGACCTCACCTGCGACACGCACGCTGAGATCGCATCCCACACTATCCGCCACGATGAGAGTAACAGAAGTCATTATCGACGTAAGTGGCTGCGCTGCCCAGAATATTCAAAACGCATCTGTACTAACACCAGCGTGTCGCAAAACAGGGCTTCAAGTCGTATGCCGTCCGAACGGTGATTTCAGGATGGTAAGTCCATTTGGCGGTAGAAGTAGTGGCAAGGGCCAAAAACTGACATCTGGTTCTCGTTGCACAGGGACGAGAGCTTCAACTCGATCACGGGACTGAACGGCAGTGGCAAGTCCAATATTCTTGATGCCATTTGCTTCGTATTGGGTATCACCAACATGTCGACGGTTCGCGCGCAGAACCTGCAAGTATGTGAAGAGACTGCGAACCGAAGGGCTGGAGCGCATGCTTAGCAAACAGGCAGCACCTTGCGACATGGCATAACTAACATCTGTCTCGTTCTAGGATCTTATTTACAAGCGCGGCCAAGCAGGTGTGACAAAGGCCAGCGTCACAATCGTCTTCGACAACCGCGACAAGAAGAAATCTCCCATCGGTTTCGAAGAGTACGCCACCATCAGTGTCACGCGCCAGATCGTGCTGGGCGGCACGTCCAAGTACCTAATCAATGGCCACCGTGCGCAGCAGCAGACGGTCCAGAACCTTTTCCAGTCCGTTCAGCTCAACATCAACAACCCAAACTTCCTCATTATGCAGGGACGCATCACCAAGGTCCTCAATATGAAAGCCGTCGAAATTCTCGCCATGATCGAGGAGGCCGCAGGCACGCGCATGTTCGAGGATCGGAGGGACAAGGCGCTGAAGACGATGGCCAAGAAGGAGATGAAGCTGCAGGAGATTACAGAGCTGCTGCGCGACGAGATTGAACCGAAACTTGAGAAACTGCGCATGGAGAAGCGCGCCTTCCTCGACTTCCAACAGACACAGAACGACCTCGAGCGCCTGACGCGGCTCGTGGTCGCACACGACTATGTTCGCTGCCAAGAAAAGCTGCAGCAGTCGGCTTCCGATTTGGAGGCCAAGAAGCAGCGCCAGAGCGACCTCGAAGAATCCGCCGTGCGCCTCAAAAGCGAGATCTCCCATTTGGAGGAAGACGCCAACCGCATTCGGACGCAGCGCGAGAAGGAGATGAAGAAAGGCGCCAAGGCGCAGGCGCTAGAGGAGTCAGTGAAGAAGCATTCAAACGAGCTTGTGCGTCTCGCCACCGTCATGGACCTGAAGCGGTCCAGCATGGCCGAGGAGCAGGACCGGCGGAAAGCGGGCGAGAAGAGCGTCACTGAACTTGAGGCCGCGCTGCAAGAAAAGACGAAGGCACTCGAGAAGATTCGCACCAAGTTTGACGCCGCCAAAGACGACCTCGAAAGGCAGAGCCAAGAAGCCGAGACAAAGGAGGAGCTGCTTCAGACATTGCAGACAGGTGTCGCCTCCAAGGATGGCCAAGAAAACGGCTATCAGGGTCAGCTTCAGGACGCAAGAAGCCGCGTCACGGCGGCCGTCACCGAGCAAGAGCAAGCCAAAATCAAGGTCGCTCATCTCGAGAAGCGCATTAAAGAGGAGGAGCCACGAGCCAAGAAGGCCAAGGAACAGAATGCAGGCCTGCTGAAAGACATTGAGGGCCTCAAGTCGCAGTCACAAAAGCTCGAAAAGGAACTTGGCAAGCTCGGTTTCAGCCCCGGTGCGGAGGAGGAGATGTACAAGGAGGAGTCCACTCTTCGGCAGACAATCCGTGGCCTGCGGCAACAATCCGATACTCTCAAGCGCAAGGTTGCCAACATCGACTTCAACTATTCCGACCCCGTGCCCAAATTTGACCGGTCCAAGGTCAAGGGTCTCGTGGCACAGCTGTTCACACTGGACGAGAAGCACACCAACGCCGGTACTGCCTTGGAAATCTGCGCCGGTGGCCGTCTGTACAATGTCGTTGTGGATACCGAGGTCACCGGTACCCAGCTTCTGCAGGGTGGTAAGCTCCGCAAGAGAGTCACGATTATCCCTCTCAACAAAATCTCTGCCTTCCGGGCGCAAGCGGAAACCGTTGCCACGGCCCAGAACATCGCCCCGGGCAAGGTCAACCTGGCTCTGTCGCTTGTTGGCTATGATAACGAGGTATCTGCCGCCATGGAGTACGTGTTTGGCAACACACTGGTGTGCGCCGACGCAGAAACTGCCAAGAAGGTGACATTTGATCCGAATGTCCGCATGCGGAGTATTACACTGGAAGGTGATGCATACGATCCCTCTGGCACGCTGTCCGGTGGCAGTGCGCCGACCTCAAGCGGCGTCCTGGTGACTCTCCAGAAGCTGAACGAGATCAACCGCCAGCTGCAGGAGGCCGAGTCCACATTGGCGGAGTTGCAGGCTACGATTGCCCGCGAGAAGACTAAGCTCGATCAGGCACGCCACATCAAGCGTGATCTTGATCTGAAGACCCACGAAATTAAGCTAGCTCAAGAGCAGATCAGCGGCAACTCATCGTCGTCTATCATCCAGGAGGTTGAGAACATGAAGGAGCAGATTGTGCAGTTGAAGGCAGACTCCGCCGAGGCCAAGAAACGGCAAGCTGAGGCCAGCGCCGACGTCAAGCGCATTGAGAAGGACATGAAGGACTTCGACAACAACAAGGATGGCAAGCTTGTCGAGCTGCAGGCGGCTCTGGACAAAATCCGGGCCCAGCTCACAAAGAACACAACCGCGATGAAAGCCCTTCAGAAGGAGCTCCAGGGCGCGCAGCTGGATTCGGAACAGGCCTCGGGCGATCTTGCGGCCGCCCGCGAACAACTCCAAGAGATCGATCTTGCCATGAAGGCCCAGCAGGAGGAGCTGAGCGAGCTGGGCAAGCAGCAGGCATCTGTCAAGGACCTACACGACGTCGCGCAGGCCCAGCTGCAAGACGAGCGGGCCAAGCTCAGCATCTATGATGACGAGCTGCGCGCTCTCGACCAGGCAACCCGGAGTAAGAACGCCCGCATTACTGAGGAGGGCCTCGAGCTGCAGAAGCTCGGTCACGCCATTGAGCGCTTCCACAAAGACAAGCAAAACGCCACCAAGCTGGCGGAGGACATGGAAGCCGACCACGAGTGGATTGCCGACGAAAAGGACAAGTTTGGACGGCCAGGCACGCCGTATGACTTCCACCGCCAGAATATTGGCGAGAGCAAAGCGACGCTACGCAACCTGACGGAGCGGTTCCAGGGCATGAAAAAGAGATCAACCCCAAGGTCATGAACATGATCGACAGCGTTGAGAAGAAAGAGGTGGGCCTCAAGCACATGATGAAAACGGTCATCCGCGACAAGCGCAAGATTGAAGAGACCATCATCAGCCTCGACGATTACAAGAAAAAGGCGCTGCACAAGACCTGGAGCAAGGTCAATGCCGACTTTGGCCAGATCTTCTCTGAGCTGCTGCCCGGCGGCAGCTTTGCCAAGCTGGACCCGCCCGAGGGCAAGACAATCAGCGACGGCCTCGAGGTCAAGGTGTGCCTGGGCAAGGTGTGGAAGCAAAGCCTGACGGAGCTCAGTGGTGGCCAGCGGTCGCTGATTGCCCTGTCTCTGATCATGGCGCTGCTGCAGTTCAAGCCAGCGCCCATGTACATTCTGGACGAGGTGGACGCTGCGCTGGATCTGTCTCACACACAAAATATTGGTCGTCTGATCAAGACGCGCTTCAAGGGCTCGCAGTTCATCGTTGTCTCGTTGAAGGACGGCATGTTCCAGAACGCCAACCGCATCTTCCGGACACGGTTCAGCGAGGGCACCAGTATGGTGCAGGCTCTGACGCCCGCCGATTTACGGTAGGCGGCTTACTTGGTGCTTGATGTCATCGCCGACGGCGGGTGTGATGGCGATTGCTCTGTAAAATGAGCGTCTGCATTCTTCTTGCGTTTGGTTGCATTCCGGTGATTTAGGGCGGACAATAGGATACAGGCTGGGCTGGTGTTTTTTGTATATGGTTTCTTTCTGAGTTTTAATTTGTTTTTACCACGTTTGCTCATGATAATCCACTATGCAATTATTATGAAATGCTCATCGCCGTCTTTGGAATATGGAGACCTATTTCTATGGGACCTTGCTTGTCATTAGTAGTTTCATGAAGCCGGGCCATAATCTGTCCACCAAGTCGTCAGATACACTGGACAGACATGCCTGTCTCCAATGTCAATTCCATTAGCTCCGGCTTGTCTGGATTCTCAAACACGGGCGCCAGGCGTAAGTCCAAAGGCTCTTCTATTGGTAAGCCTTCGGTGGCAGAGGCTGGGATGATATCGAATACGGCTTCGTCCAGCAATTGATTTGAGACTGGTGTTGGCTTGAATGAAAGACGCTTCCAACTAGAACGACCAACTGTTAGGATATGTCACATATGAAATACCATCGTTTCGTGGGGTATAGGGTACCTTTGCTCGTCGTCTGCTTGCATGCCATGGACTGTGAAAACATGTTAGTCGGCTATTTGCTCCCTGCACATAATGGACACGTTGTGCCTTTGCGAGGGACAACATACCAACAATATTTGCATATAGTTGCCGCCCGGCGGCATCTGGTAGTTGTTCATCGTTTGCAGTGCTTGTCTCAGGTGCTCGTAGATGGCTCTTGGTACGAAGACGGACCGGGTGGTCGACCTCACAACGGAACAGGCCCAGCCGGTTGCTTACACCCAGATACAGCTGCAACGAGCGCGGCAGCTCGGCCGATAAGTCCAGTGCCCGGGTTCTGGTGTCGCCGATTCTCACGTGGCCATACTTTGCAGCGGCCTTGTCGGCCGCAACAGGCAATGCCAGCGGCAACACAACCTCCACTTCGGGCACGGAACGCCAGCCGCGCGCCAGCTTGGCCGCAAACCAGTCCCAGCGGCCCACCCAGCCGGTGGCCTGCCACGGGTAGCGCACGACGACGTACAGCTCGCTCATGGAGGCGGTGCGCTCGGCGCGGTCATCGGCACGCATGCGAGCCTGGGCGCGACGCACCTTGGCCAGGTCGGGGCGCCACAGCTCAACCTGCAGCGTGGCGAGCATCGGGAATTGGTGCCGGTCGATGGCATCCCACGTGTCGTCTGCCTCGGCTCCATCGTTGTCGTTGTCATTGCCGTTGTCCTTGCCGTCGCCACGTCCGCCCGTCTTGGTCTTGGCAACAAGCTCAGTGCCCGCCCGCGCTGGAAACGGCGATGCGAGCTGGGCCAACGTGAAAAGCCAGTCAAACTCCAGACCTCTCGGCAGGACTCGGCTGCGCGACACTTGAATGCCCCGGCAGGACTTGACGGGATACACCCACAAGCTGTCGATGCGGGGCACCATGCCGCCGTTGTTTCGTAGTTGGCGCTTTTCGCCCTCCTTGTCCTCCTTTTCCTCGTCCACACACAGCTGGGAGTGCGTTTCGTTCAAAAAGTCGCTTGGCCGTGGCGCCACCGGCGGATAAATCCACAACATGGGCAGCAAGAAGCCGAACAGCGTGACCAGCAGCACAACCAGCGAGTTCGGGTCGGAGAGCGCCTGGAAGACAGAGACCAACACCGACGGCTCCGGCCCCATGAGAAGGCGGCTGTCTGCTTCGTCCATGACTGCTTTTGACGCTTGGAGTTTGGTGCCGTCCTGTTTATAGGTCGTGACGATTTAACCGTGCGAAAGAATAAGAGAGATAGAAAAAGGCAAAAAAGTCGATGAAAACTGACGTTCACGATACAAATACTACGAAACAAATAGCCCTCGAGTGCGACCATGTCCTTCCAGAATTCAGTCGATGGTCCAATTGCGAAGGTCCTTTGATCTTTGAAACACTGTGCCCACTCTCTGTCTCCTGGAACGCTTGATGTTGAAACACTCTAGGAGCACACGGACGACGCACGCCCAAAATATGGGACGGTTTGTGTCACGTGACTCTTCTTTGCATTTTGTCAGTCTTTTCTTGGTTCGCGGCCTCGAAAACATCGGACGAAACACTTGGGTCGGAAACAGTAAAAGAAGCGGGATGGGATACGGCCACCAATTGGGATGCGTGGTGCAGGTTTTTACTGTGGTATGATGTACCAACATGGACAACGTCGCAGGCGGGAAACGTAAGAAACCAGGCCAACGGCACATTGAGGTTTGAATTGTTGCAATGCTTTTTCAGTCTGATTTTGAACATCTCCGGATAACAAACTCACTTTTTACAGAGGTTTATGAACATGACCTCATTGGTCTCATTCAGCGGTAGATTAAATTACGAGATAGTCTGGAAACTGTTTTTTCTTTGCTTTCATTATTGTTTTGTGAAATATCTTATAAAATCAAATAAATAAATGAATGAACTCATAATACAAAGCGTGGCAAATGGGAACAAAAATAAATCATAGGACATCACTGTCTTTTCCTTTGCCTAAAATTGGGAGGAGTAAAGGCATGTAGGACATGTCCATTGATTTTATAATCATAGAAACGCTCCGGAGTCCCGTTACTACAGACATATTCAACGATAACGGCAGTCATGCGGTTACAACTGGCGGTCAATATTATGCACAATTAGGTCCTGCGACTCTTTTTTTAGAACGCGGTTTGCATAGCGTGTTCTACATTATTTGATTATATGACATACATATACCGTGGACCGCGGCCAGCCGTGTTGTTCTCCCCCGACTCCTGTCGGTAATTGTCTACGTGAAGACAGTGGCCTGGTTCACGGAAAACGACAATCGTGCCACGAGGGGAGAACCCCAACCAACCGCCGGTTAGGCACCTGCCGCGGTGCATGCATATTGGCAAGATACGGAGTAGAACGGAGTAGAGTTATATCGTATGGCTGTCTAATAATACGCAGAGTGCAAAATGTACTCTATACAGGCGAAAGGTTTTTGCGAGAGACTTTGCATTGGTAGGGCCTTGTCTCAAGGCCGGATGTACAGGAGACGCGAAGGGCTGCCGCAGGTTATTACACAGGCTCTTTCAAAATTCTTGGAGACAGGCGGACCAGAGACAAAATTTACTTGTTCTCCCGCTCGTTTTGCTGAATCGCATCCCTTTGCTGCGCGGGCTTGTATTGGACATGGGGATAGGGGTTTGTTATTACATCCGATACTCCATAAAGGTGCCCGTATTGGCAAAGAATGATTGCAATGAACGGACCAGTTTTGATGGGATAAAATTGCGGTGAATGGGTTCCGCTAAGATTGCAGCATATTTCCTTATTTGTTCCCAACGACCTGTCTTCATTGTCCAAACAGGGGCATATATCACGCTGAGTTAATATTGAAACAGATATTGCGGTCTTGTTGAGACACGTGCAAGGCAGTCCGAATACCACCTTTCACGTCCAAGTTTGGATCGTGGCGCTGTACATACGCGTATCGTAATAAACACATATACTTTGTGGAGGCGTCTAGAAAGATTGCGCTGAGCATCTGGGAGTTACACGTGTGCTCGTTCCATGGTTCGCCACAATGTGGCTCCTTTAGGGTTGCAGTTTCTGTCAATACCAAATGGCGCTTTCTCCGGCAGACATCGTCCTCTTCTTCGAATCCTGATAGCACCGGCCAAAATGTTCCATTCAAGTTAAATCCTCTACGGCAGTTTGCTCCCTTTTCCTTCTGCGCCATGTGACATTGGAATTCACCTAGAGTGCCGGCGTATCACGGTAAACGGATTACGACCTTTTGCATTACAGCATCGTGATTGAATCTTTGTCTTCCACCCACGACATCGCACTGCACCCACTGTACAACATATTTTGAGTCGATTACTTTGGGCCATGCTAGCGAAAGTTTGCTGTTTTGGGCGCAGTGCAGGTTGGTCCCATATCCAAAGAAACATAAAATGCTGCCAGCGTTACAGTGGGATAATTACGTCGTATCGGTGCCAATTTCCAATCCCATCCCAAAGACCAGGGAAATTCTTCCGTATCAACGCTGAAGAGAATAAAAAGCCCCTGTTCCCCGCCTCTTGATGTTTCTTATGGCACTCAGCTAAGTGTTGATCTTCCAGCGTTTGTCCGGATACTATTTATTCTACAGGAATAAATGTCTGGGACGGGCTGCATAATAATAACGCCGGACTGATATTACTTGGCAAAATTTCTTGGTACAGCCACAAACCCCACAGCCTTACGAAGTAATGATTCTAGAAATGTATGTTTTGTACTTATTTTACAGGAAGAAGCCAAAGGAGGCCGGTCGTATTCGTGTTCTCTGTCTTAATTTCATTGAGTACGGCTTAGGTCGGACAGCTCGGATGACAGCTTACTGAAAAAGCTTGCACTGTATCCTGGACACATCTTACTGTCCTGTGGCACAATCCGGAAGAAGCAAAGAGCGGAGACGTGTATGATATATGGAGGCGTTATGTGAGCTTAATTGCCTTGATATAAGAAAATAAGGAAAGCCGGATATACTCACTATTACAGGCCCGGAAACTGACACCGTCCGTTTTCCAGATCAATAAAAGGTGTTCGACCTCCATAAACCATATTCCTTCTTTCCTTTCCTTTTTTTTTAAATATATATATATATATATATATATATATATATATTTTATATCTCCTATCCTCTTATACATCGACAGGCAATAGAAAGAAATGGTAGCTTGTGGTCAAGTATGGCTAGCTTAGTCGAATGGCTAGGTCGTGCAACATACTTGGTATTTGTCTATTCTCTATTTATCTCGTCATGTAGTGCACTGTAACATTGATTCGTTTTGCATTTGCAAAAGGAGACTTGTAACGGCTCGAGCCGTCACGGGAATATGGTCCAGCCCCAGCCAACGCTCTTGGGCGTTCTGTGTCCTCTTTCTTTTATCTTTATGTTCTTTTTTCTTTAACCTACCCCACCCCGG